GCACCACCAGAAATACCTTATGAACTATTTCTAAAAAATTAATCAACATCGGAATACTGAAATCTGTTACACGATTTAAAACATAAACTAAACATGTGAACTTTAGAAACCAGCAAAAAATTCGCGTTACTTTATTTAAAAATAAGTATTACAATTTTGAATTACGTTAAAATCATATTTCTTATTATTTTTCTCTATTAACAATAAAAATTAATTTCTATTTCAAAGTTTCAAAATTATAAAGTAGCCATTTTTTATGCCTTTTCTTACAATAAAATTTGATCAATCAATAACGACTTTAGGATAAATATTTAATTTAAAATATGTTATTTAAATAATTCTACAGAATTATCATTGACCACTAAGTTTCACGTAAAAGAATTTTGAAAATATTTTTTTTTTTGCTTCAATTATTAATATAATATAAATTTATAAGTGGTTAAATATGTTTTAGATTCGCCTCTTATCCCTTATAATTTTACTAACTTTAATTTTTAAAATATACTATAAAATAGACAACTATCTAACTAAATGATTGATCGATAACAATTTTTGGATCAGTACATCCGACCTTATTAACATATTTATACTTAGACGAGTAGAAGTATGCGACCAAAAAAGTGTAATGATAAATTTCAATTACTAATATACTACCAGTGAACAATTGTAGAGTACTAAATTAAAAGCTAAACAATAAATTGGTGACAATTATTTTGAATTCCACGGGCAGATATTTGAGAAAATGAATACTGAAGACAAACAAGCTAACAGTAAGACCGACAAGTACAAATAATCAGATGAACAAAATTAAAGTGTCATAAATGTATAATACAGTGAATACATTGCATGAGAGCAGTTAACTTAGCCGCTAAATGGTAAAATAGAAAAAATCCTATCTTACTCAATAGTCACTCAGTTGTATTCTTTAATGTCTCACGGTTTAGAAATAAGTTCATAAGCAAACTGGCAACGTTGCTTTTACTTAGTCTGTATAATTAAAAAAGACATAACGTTGAAATCATTTTTAGCGCTTATGAATTCCACAAGTTGCCAGATTTCTCATTAAATTACATTTTATTTGAGTTTGTCGCTCAAATGTAATAAAATTATTGCTATTTAGTATTGTAAATAAATTAATTTTATAAAATGTTTGTAGTTTCATATGTCAGATTCATCAATTTTTGATACAAATTATTCAATCACCACTTTTACTACATTATAGTTATTCTTTTTTTAGCAAAAACATGTGTTATCTTTGATAGTACTTTTAAATTTTCGTTTTACATTTTATTTGAGATTATATATATAATGTAATTAATAATAATTTAATCGGTTATACATTGTAATAACTTTGAATTTAAATTTTTAAAATATAAATAATTTTTTACAAAATTGTGAATTTAATAAATGTGTAAAACTGTTACATAAAAATTGCGTGAAATACAACTAATAATATTTACTATATATAATATATTATTTAATTAGCTTTATAGAGTGATTGTTTATCATTGACTACTAAATTTCCCCGTAATAATAATCTTCGAAATATTTTTTTTTCGCTTTGTTGATTATTATGATGTCTCAAATTATAAATGGTTAAATACTTTATAAATCCGTCTTTTATCCCTTATAGGATAGAAACTTTTTTTTTTTTTAAATAGCAACATACATTTTCAACTTGCTTATAAAATAAAAAATGACTAATCCATAATAACTATTGGACCAGTACTTGGAAAATTATTAGTATTTTTATATTTACGCAAATCGAAATGAGCAGCCGTGAAACGTTCAATGATAAGAATAGTCATATCCGGTCACAAATATATTAGAGTAATAAATTGAAAACTGCACAACAAATTGGTGACAAATTCATTGATTATTTAGAATTCGATGGACAGATATCTGGAAAAATGAATATTAAGTCAATCGAATCAAGTAGTAAGACCGACAAATTCAAATATTCAGATGAACAAAATTAAAGTGTTGTAAATGTTTAGTACAGTGAATATATTGCATGAGAGAACGTAGCTCTTTGCCCAAATGGTAATATAGTATCTTATCCAACAAACTGGCAACGTTGCTTTGATAAGTCTGTGTTACTACAAGAGATAGAGCGTTAAATTAGTACTTAATGCTTACCAATAACACGTTACCAGTTTGCTCATTACCTTTTCTTTTATTTATATTAGTCGCTCTCACTAATTGGTTTGGTCGACTTCAGTATAAAATTTCTCAAATGTCTTTCCATCGAATGGAAAATAATCAATAAATGTTTTGCCGATTTTTTGAATATATGTCCCATCTGCTGAAAACTGTTGTTTGAATTTGTCACTCAAATATACTAAAATTATTGCTATTAATAGATCGTTCGGTTGGGTTATTTTCTATTTGTTACTTATCGCCTATTACTAAAGTAAATAAATTGTACTAATAAAAAGTATGCTGTTCATTATATCATCGGTTTGGTAATGTTTGTTACACATTATTCAAGCAAGTGCCCACTTTTACTATAATATTGTAGTCTTCTGTTTTGTTCTTTTTTAGCAGAAATTGTTATGTTTAATAAATAATTTCCGTTATACAATTTATTTCATTTTGAATGTAATATATTCTGTGCGAAATATATGTATAAAGTATTATTTTATAATTTACATTAATTAATTTATTGTTGAAAAACGATCTACATAAGATAACTATGCCAACAAAAGAAAATCAACAAATCGATATCATGGTAGACAATTTTAATATTATTATTATTTAACTTCAATACTAAATTTTAAATTTAAATAAACATTTAGTCTCGTGTAAAATAAAGATTTTAACTATTATTATAAATAATTGATTTATCTTTAATCATATTGGTTTATTATTAAATCATTTTATCAAATAGGTTTAATAATAAACATTTATCATTTTTTTTATTATTTAATTAAATTTTTATTTGTCGATTTTTTTATTCAAATAACAAAAAATATGATTTATCGCGGTTTTATATTTAATCTACACAAAAACTTAAAATTAATATTTCTTATTAAATAAGACAGTTATGGTGTCTCTGAGTCATGTTCAAAAACTAACAAACCGACTGTATGGAGACAGTATCTCAGTAGACTGTTATATTTGGACAATAATTTAAAATTAATGAAATATATTTGTTTTTGATATTTTAAATAGCGTAGAATCTCTATAAGAAGTCATAATATGAGTTTATATTTAACATAAACTAATAATACAATTTAGTCATATTTAAGAATAAAAAAAAACTTATTTTGAAAATATGAATAAATTAATTTATGAAAATAAAAATATAATGTAATTTATAATTACATATGAATATTCCTTTAAAACTACATTAAGTTATGAAACAATATTAATAGTTACCACACCTATGTATTGCATTTAATACATTAATGTATTATTTATTAAATTGTGTCACATAATTTCTAATTTTTTATAGCCCACGAAAATTTTTTTTTGATACACACATGTGATTGACTATTTAAAATCAATTATGATATTTTTTGCGTGGACATAATATTACAAACTATTCGATTACAATATTTAAAAATTAAAATTAATTCATGTTGCACAACGTCTACGTACAGTGCCTTGAGTACTGCGTCTATTTTCATCATGCAACTTCTTATTAAAGACACCGTTAACTCGCTTCAGTACAGTCTAAGCCAGGCGACCGGTCATGAAACCTAATGAGGTGGCTTATAAATGAGACGCACATAGAGCGATGCATTGCATTCTAATTATTGATACTGCCAGATAGTGTGATACGAAGGTTGCCAGAAGAAAAATATATTAAATATTACAATTTTTTATCTGAATCCTGAGGCGAATTTTAGCGAAGCAATTGTAATAAACTTTTGAGAACACAAACCATTTCACAATGTCGATGTTTTGTCTAGGATAAAATGCACTCTTACCTATAGACAAACTAAAATTAATCTAATGAGAGTATTAATGATAAATGGGGGCAAAAAACTGCAATGAACTTACAGTAATGGCAAAATAAGTAGTGAACTTATTAATTGTTTATTAAACATGACATTAGTTATCATTGATTTAACTTTCTTGTTGCATAAAATGTACACCCAACAATTGTTTATCAAAATATTATAACCTGTTCTTTACGACCGAGCTAATGACCCCCAAAGGAAGGAACGTCGTCGAGTAGAATGCCAATGCGACCGTAATAATGACATCACTATATTGGTGACTAAACAAATAATATTTTTACCAATACGTCGCAAGCATACATATAAAACAATTATTGCAAAAATTAATCTTATTCTTCGATACAACNAGGAAGGAACGTCGTCGAGTAGAATGCCAATGCGACCGTAATAATGACATCACTATATTGGTGACTAAACAAATAATATTTTTTACCAATACGTCGCAAGCATACATATAAAACAAATATTGCAAAAATTAATCTTATTCTTCGATACAATCGCAAAAATATTAATAAAAATATATACATCGTCTTTCAAAACGTAATAAACTGTGATTTTTTTCTCGGAGAAAATAAAATAGTTTCACGTGGATCTATCCATTATTTGTAGTGATGGTAGGAGAGAGTTTTTTTTATTTTTGTGGCGTAACTGTATGTTCTGATTATCGTCCGGGCTGGTATGTATTATAATAATATACCGTTGATCATAGACAGGACAACAACAAACAAATCGCAGCGATGCCACAATCACGTTAATACACAGCGCATGTTGTACCGGCATTTGTGTTTTGTTAGAATCGACATGTCTTAACNACCGTTGATCATAGACAGGACAACAACAAACAAATCGCAGCGATGCCACAATCACGTTAATACACAGCGCATGTTGTACCGGCGGCATTTGTGTTTTGTTAGAATCGACATGTCTTAACGAAAATGTTGTCATTACTACTGAAATTACCTGTACACCCACATCCCTACTGTTATAATAAGTAGTGCGGTAATATAAATGAACACCACCACTGGAACTTACCGTGATCTGAGTCGGTGTAGTTCGGCGGGAGACGTGTACAGTGCGAAAAGGTCACATGAACCCGAAGTATTGAGATTGGCGTTACGCCTATTGGCGATTTCTACCGGCGGCGGAGCACATGAAAATCCGATGACAACTACCACTCAAGATAGTCACCTGGAAATTTTGTTGACACCGAAAAAGGCGACTTTATTGATCACGGCGTCAGCGCATTACTCGAAAAGGATTTCAAGCGTAATAAATGTAGTATGAACAAATTTCAAACCGCACTCAAATAGTATTTTAACAATAAAGGAAATAGTACTTAACTTGTAATTAATAAAGATAATCCGAGTAGAAATACTGTTACACGAGCAACGTCGAAGCCGTGCGCGCAAAACTAATACTGACAGTGGCGCGTCTTCTGGTCCTTCCAGTCCCCGGCGACTAGGCCAAAGACACGTCCTCTACTTGTCTTCTCCCGCTTAGCGTTCACCGACCACTACCATTTCGCACAATGTTACCATCATTTGAAACGCACACACGTAAAACTATATTAACTTGGTGGCACTTCTCGATATATTTGTTGAACGCTTAATAACAATAATAAGAAAATAATGTTGCAATCATATTACTAATTTAAAAGTACTAATTTAAATGACATCGATAGCTCTTACATCTGATGGTGACGATAATTGCAAAACTTATATATTTTTAAAAAATCTTGTTCACATTTATCTGATATCTACATTATGTAGATAAGGTAAAACATTTCTGATTAATTAAAACAAATATTTTCGATTTATAACAATTTAAATCTGTACACTTAATTAAAATGATATCAGCTTTATTAAATATATTTTTAACTAATTTAGTTCAACGATTAAGCATAAGATAATAATCTGTCACGATATAATACACACCTACTATAATATAACATGAACCACAACTTTAAGGCTTGATTTCTTATACTGGTTTATTTTGAAACAAGTATATTCATGCAATTTGATCTAGTTTTTATTAGTACGATTAATTTATTATCCATACTTAATTAAGTATGGACAGTTTTCCTTGGTCAGTAATATTTTTAATACTGATTTATTTATTTATTATATCAGTTTACTTAAATAAACCGAGATAATAAGAGTATTAGTTTTTAATTATTTATTTATAGAAAATTTTTTCCTTGGATATTTTTAATAGGATATTGATTTTATTTTACCGCGGATATTTTGGCCAGATAAACATCAAAATAATTTAAAATTTTATAAATAAATAATTTTAAGAAAATAATAAAAAAAAAATTATCAAGAGTACAAAATTTTTATTGAAATTTTGAATTTTAGATTTATACATGTTATTTTATATTGAAGAGGTAAAACAAAACATTTATAATTTGTTAAAATGTCTGATTAATTATCAATGGTTGTATTCATACCATTAAGTCAAAATAATATTTAAAAATCTGTTAAGATTAAAAAAATAAATAAATTTAAAGTATATCTTTTGGTAAATAAAACCGCTCAGCTATTAATTCAGCTAGTCCTGTGATTTTTTTAAACTTTGTTGTGTCCATTTTCATTTCGTTCATTGTTTTAATCCAAAATGTTTTGTCTTTCATCGTATTTGCCTGTAAAAAGTTGATATTGATAGTGTCTTGATTAATTTTATTAAGTATATCTTCTACTAGAGAATAATAATTATTACTTTTAACTTATAAAAATACTTAGGTTCATCTTTAGAAAAAACGCCAAAACTTAAAGGATCTTCTTTAAGATTTTCAAAAAGTATCATATTGTTACTCTGAAAGTTAATAATAATACAGTAAAAATATAGTTACATATTAATTTTGTTTCTGTAGGCTTAAAAAATGTTTACCGAAATATGAGCTTTGTATTCCAACACACTACACTTTTGTTCTTTGGCAATCAATAACACATTGTTTAATAAAATCACACGAAGTTTTTTTTTCGTTCCTGCATCTGTCAAATCGCCTTCAGCGTGTAGTTCGAAACAATTGTTCGGTATTTCGACCTATGAAACACAAAGAGTTTAATTTAACCAATGTATGTACACAATAATCATTATAGCTAATAATAACTATAAAATAATATTTAATATGCTATGATCATGTTCCGAAAAGACGGTATAGCTGTTACATTTGTTCTTTCCTTCCATTGTTTCATCAGTTGTTGCATCTTTTTAATACGATCTCCTTTTTCAAATTTATGTCTAGTTTCGTCGATAATTTTGGCTAGAAGAGTCATTTTATAATGAGCTCTACATACTAACACATAATCGGGTGATTTTTTTGCCGTATACATTACTAATTTCTATAAAAATAAAATCCCAAGCATAAGTATCAAATAGACATTTCATGAACTATCTAAATCGATAAACACATGAATAACTAATTTCAAAATTTTCAATTTACTTCTAATAAAAGGTGATATCTCAACATCCTTTGAATAGGAAAAACAAGGTATGCGCCAAGTGGTAATCGATGACCCAATTCCTTTTGTCTTTGTTGTATCATAGTAGAAGTGTTATGATTTCGCATTAGTTCCGATAAAAATGAATCTGATCTAAATAAAATATGGTTACACAAGACACGATTACTGTAGATTTGTATTATTATATAATGAGTAGCTTCAAAATGAAATTTTTCTTGAATGAGTGTATTGTTTTTTAAAAACTGATCGTGCTAATAGTCTGACAGATTACTTGCCTGTGGAAATTAACACAGTAAGTTGAATATATGATAAATTTCACATGATTGTTTAAGAAGCATCGAGCTACTTGTGTTCCATTATTTTCACAGGATTCTAATTCTTTTAAAAATAATCTACCATAAAATAATTTTAAAGATTATAGAAAAAACATTCAAATATGAATAAATAAACAAATAAAAATATTAGATAATTAAAATATTAAATTATTAAATTATTATTATAGCGATAGAAAAGTATGATATAATAAATTTCGTTAGGGTCGTATACATTAACTTTTAGCCGTGCTACATAAGATATTAAATAATATTTGAATTTATCAAATCAATATTACTTTGAGAATTCATAAATTTCTGATATGTTACCAAATAACTGATTACATTGATACTTAGTCAAAAAATTTCTATTCTTCCAATATGCTAAATAATCCTGTAAAAATGATTTATTAAGTTAACATATTGTATCACTAAATAACATTGATGTATGCAATCATTTCTTTCCAAGAGTATGCTAACTAAAGAAAATTTTACTTTTTTTAGTGATTTCATTAAAAATTTATCTTATTTAAATTAAAAAGTAATATACTGAGTATTTAAAAACATTTACTAACAATGCATTATTTATTATAACTATTCATTCGTAATATTTCCATTAATTTTTTTATATACATAAAAAACATTATTCAAATATTATTTGCACTCATTAACGTTCAGGACGGTATTAAAAATATCTTCTGTCATTAGTGCTGTGTTACCGTCATAAAAACCCTAGGGAATTCACTATCTAATATTTTTTTAAACAAAATACATCAAATGCAAAAACAAGTGTATTCATTTTTTTTTTTGCACCCTTGAGCACTTTTCTTCATTACTGCCTTAATACGGCCCAATTTGTGACCTTAATGAAAAAAACATTTAGTAAACCATTTTGCTACATTATTTTACGAATTGGTAGTACATGAATTATTATGTCAGCTTATTTACTTTGAACCATTTTTAATACTAAATTAATTAAAAACTTATTTTTTTTTATTAATGTAATTTGGTAATAAGTAAAAAGTATTAAATATAAACTAATAGCATAGTTACTCATTTGTATTATTAAACTCAATGATTCAATTTTATTTAGTATTATGAAGACTTAACAAATACTAAACAAATTAAAATTTATAATTATTTCAAGGTAATCGATAAAAAAAATTATCATTAGTTAATTATCGTCTAATTAGTTTATAAGTATTCAATATTTAATTCTATAAAAACAAGCTTAAAAAATTTGTTAATATACATATTATATCCTTATTTTCTTTACTTAGAAAATTTATCCTTTTTTTTTCATGAAAAATAAAATTTATTTTTACATTATACAAAATGAGAAATCAAAATTTAATTTTGATCTTCTTAAAATGAATTGTTTGGTTCATGTCCTCCTGATTATAGATCTTTGAAAAGAAACGCCAAAAATCAAAGTTAATTACTCAAAAAAAAACTGAAATTTATCATTTAGAAATTTCTTTCCTACTTAATTTATTTTTAAATTCGTTAATTTTTAAATTATAATAAAAAAATCTTTAAATGTATTCAGGGCTATTTGATAGTAAAATTAATAGCAGATAAATTTGAAATATAATTATAACGTTACCTCAGATAAAATAATTAGCAATAAACATATTTAAAATTATTTAAAAAAAATTGTCTTTATTGAAATATGACTGACATTTTTAGTTTTTATTTTAAATACCTAATCTATAATTCCCCACTCGAATTTGTTCAGTTAAGTACATTATCTTTTCAAAGTAATAAACATTATATAACAAAAAACATGACCAATATGTTTTGTATATCAATTGAAAATACGTTAAATGTGAAGAAAAAAAAACTTACATCAATTAATTCTCTTAGATGACGGACATACGATCTTTCAGTTTCTAATAATTCTATAATAACTAGATCTCTTTTATAATCACTCATATTCATAAAAACAAATTTTTATACTTTAAACACGATATCATAAGAAACTGGTATGCTAACTAGACGACGTACAGCAATAATTATGCAAGCTTAAGGTAATTAAAATATACTGTTTGTGATAAAACAAAATTGTTTATAGTTCTCATCCAATGTAATAATATAACATACACTAAGTATTAATTTCCTATTGGCATAAATTACCTTCTGTTAACTTCTATATTTATTTAATTTATGAATAATAAATTATTTGCATTGTAGTATTAACTTAAACAACTAAATTAATTCAATGACTTCCTATTAATTATCTTAATACCTTTATTTAACATAAAAGAAAATTAAAAAATAGATATTTTTATTAATGATTAAGAAACATCCTCTTTTAGGGGAGGCCATTATGGCCCTTAATGGGTTTACAAATACGAAAAACAAGAAATTATTTGGCTATAAAATAAGGATTTTAACAGTTAAAAGTACTTATCAGGAATAAATAAAAGATTTATTTATAATATTAGATATTATTAAAAGTACATGTTTTAGATTTGGTAAATAATATTTTCAAATATTCCAATTTCATATCTATATATTTATTATTTTAACAAATTTTTAAGATTTTAGAATAAGAAGGGAAAAAGTGAATAGTATAAGTTTAACGTACCTAAATAACAATAAATAGACACTAGAAGTGTCACACATTTGTTACACTGTATTTCTTAATTAAACTGAAAATACATTTTTAAGGAGCATATCTTAGGAATAAATGTTCATCAATTAAAGATAAAAAACCTTTAAATTACTTTAGTGCCCCTTTTGTGATGGTGGCATACATAAAGTCTTCCATAGATCATGGACGTGCGCACAAAGACCACAAAGGATCTTTTTGCTGCCTCCTACGGGTCTGGTTATATTAAAAGGGCCAGTAAACGTTGATGCTACCTTAAAACATCTCCTAAAAATATTAAACTAAAAAGTGGTTTTAAAAGATTGGATTTAAAAAAATTAACTTTAGCATAACTTTCATAGACTTAATTACTTATCCATGTTATAGCATCCCATCATAATAAATAAGCTTACTATTTATTATACTTACAAAGGGGAAGGAGTATTAAAGAGAGTAGTTAAATAGAGTATTTGCTTACTCCTGAAATATTTAGGGTTGCTTAACTAAGGCTATACGAGTCTTAAATTTAATTTTTGTAAAGTGGACCGTTAAAGTTTTTTGCTGCCCCAGATCCATAAGTCTGCTCATGCCAATGGCATAGACATAATATCAATAATTATTTATAAAATATATATGTTTATAATATGTCTGGAATAGAGTGTCATCGTTTCAGTGCGGTAGGGCGAGTAGTCCCTTATCCATATTTTTTAGTGACCCGCAAATGTTGATATATAGAGTGGCCAAAATTTCTACCACTCTAAGAAAAATGATAAATAATTTCTGTATGGAATGCCTCATTCACTTCATCTTCACTATCGCTCAACCAAAATAAAAGTCATATTAAATAATATTAGGCAGATGAAAATCTTTTTACAAGTACAAAAAGACAATATTTTACTAGACTACTTTCTCACAAAACCTTCAAAATTTACTTACAATAGTTAAAATCTCCTTGAAAAATATTTTCATCACTGTTATCTCTGTAGATGTTATCTTTAAAAATCATATTGTGATAATGATAGACAAATTTATTATACAATTCCAAAGGAATTTATATTTAAACGATAGTTATATCAATGTATTTTGTAATTTTTTAATATTCAGAAAACTCACGTCGTGTTGTCAAATTATTAAATTATTGTGATACTAGATCAATACTTTACTTAAATCGTACAGTAAAATGTTTATTGTATACAAAATTTTATATATAAACGAATAATAAAAATATTGCCTGTGACCTATATGGGTATTATTTGAATGAAATATTTCTATAAACTCTTTCAATATGAAAATATTTCGAAATACTCATATAAAGTTTGTGCACACTAGTATATATTTGCAGAAAAAACCTTCTGTATTGTACGATCAACGAGTAAAAAATGGTGAACTTATAGATGATAATCATCAAAGACAAATAATACAAAATTTAGATGATGTGTTTATATCACTGGAAGACTATTCTCCTCCATCAAATAATATACTTTCAACATTTTTTGGTAAACTTAAAATTCCTCCAAATGGCCTTTACATGCATGGAACAGTTGGCTGTGGAAAAACTATGTTAATGGATCTATTTTTTCACTGTTGTTCTGTAAGTGTTACTTTATTATATTAGAATTGCATACATGTACTTTTTTATTAGTTATTTAAGTGATTCATTGATCAACATTCCTCTTTTTTTTTATAATACATATTTCAATTTACAGATGAAAAAAAAACGAAGGGTACATTTTGATGAATTTATGTTAGATATTCATGACAGAATACATAAATTACGATTAAGCAGTAAAGGAAACTTTGACTCTATACCTATGGTAGCGGATACAATTGCAGATCAGTCTTGGTTAATTTGCTTTGATGAATTTCAGGTATTTACAATAATTTTTTATTAATGTAGAAGTCACTCTTTTGTGTCCAACATTTTATTTGTAGGACTATCGTGTATTATCAGGTGACTGATATAGCAAATGCAATGATTTTAAAACGGCTATTTACTGAACTGTTCAATAGAGGCATTATTATGATAGCAACTAGTAATCGAAAACCAGATGATTTATATAAGAATGGATTACAAAGGTTTTTATTCCTGCCATTTATACCAGTATTAAAACAACACTGTATGGTTGTGAATCTAGATTCAGGTATTGACTACAGAGTTTTAAGAGCTAAAAACGGAACTAAAAGCTATTTTGTGTAAGTATAAAGAGTGAAAATTTATGAAAGGATTGGATAAAATATATAAAACATATAGAGCAATTGTTATGATAAAAAAAAATTACAATTTCCATATACTGGCTCCAAAATAATGTATATTTCTTGGTTTAAATTGATATGTTACATTTTTATTCAAACTGAGAGATATAAATTAGTATCTATTTAATGCAGGAAGTTTCTTAATTAGATTTATCTATGAAAGATTGGCAATTTTTTTCAATGTTTATGAGGACTATGATTCATTTTAATAGATTATACTCACAAATTAAATAGGTCATACTATAATTACAACTAAAAACACTGCTATTAATTGACCTGCTTAAGTTGTGTCACTCATTTTAGTTATTTAAATTTTCATTCAAAAGTTCTGTCTTTAAAATACGTAATAAGAAAATAATTAGTTTATAATTGTATAGTTCATTTACATTTTTTTCATTTAAATCTCCTGATTATAATTTTCTTAGTAAACTAGGAGTGTATTCATTAAAAAAAGTTAAAAATTTAATATCGTCTATAGTAATAATTGTTATTAAAAGAAAAAAAATTACCCTATGAATTTCAAGATTTATTTTATTTTTTATTTAGAAAAAATGTTGACAAAAAAGAAGATTTTGAAAATGCTGTTAAAAGGTTGACAAACAATGAAAATGATACAGTAAGACCTAGAACATTTGTTATTATGCAAAGAAACTTAACTTTTCAAAAAGTTTGTGGACAAGTTTTAAATGCAACGTTTGAAGAATTATGTGATCGTGTAAGATTAATAATTAAACAATTATTGAATTAAATAATAATTTGAAAAAAATAGCCATTAGGTGCTGTTGATTATTTATATTTATCACAAATGTTTCATACAATTGCAATAAGAGATATTCCTCAATTAGATCTTGATTCACTTTCACCAATGCGACGATTTATAACACTCATTGATACACTCTATGATAATAAAGTAATTTGAAAGATTGTCTACTTAAATTTTCTAAAACTTATCTTTAAAAATAATTATATATTTTTTATTTTAGGTTTGTATACTTTTGTATGCTGATAAACCAATTAATAAATTATTTGTAGCTAAAAAATCAGGGGGTCTCGGAGATGATCAAAAAGTACTAATGGATGACTTAAATTTGGATTCAGAATCAGTAATTATAATAATTATAAAAAACTTATTTATTAATTTTGAAAAATTTTACAATTTATAAGATTAGATTATTTCAACATATTATTACATTTAAAATAATTTTGAATTAAATAATTTAACTAATGTGTCATATTGTTACGAATAATTAGTGAACATTTTCTTATTTAAATATTTACAAAGTCCTTTTACTCTTTAAGGTAAATATAAATTAATTTTTATTATTTCAGGCTGATACTAAGGCAAATGTTTTCACTGGTGATGAAGAAATATTTGCATTTGATAGAACTATATCACGAATCACAGAAATGCAATCCAATGAATACTGGCAAAATTGTCGCTCAAAAGTTTAATATTATTTTCTATTAGGTTATCTAAAGTTACCCTATTTGGTTTCTCATGAAATCGTAGTTAAAATTTAGTTTATAATTGGTTTTTTTCATAGTATTATTTTTGAGCAATTTAATTAATGAGATGTTATGGTCTAGCATAAATTTTAGTTAATGAAAAACCAGTAAATTTTCAAAATAATTTTTTTTTGTTATTGTTAAATAAAATATTGTTAAATACAATCTGTATATTTTAAATATAATTAATATTATTAAAATGATTAATACACATCAATAGTTAAATTTTAGAACAACTCTTGTAACTGAAAAACCTTGAATAGTTAAAGCGTTAGTTTTTTGAGTTCTATAAAATAAATATTAACACTTGCAGTCAACTTGCAATGACTAAAACAATGAATTCAATATGCTTTTTATTGCAGGATCATCATTTCATGAGAAACTAATTGATGTGAATTAATTATTAGACATGGTACCACGTTTCCCTAAGCCGCACATCACGTTATTAACCTTTTTTTTTTCTTCAATACGGTCAACATAGTATTGGCCACCCTGAAACTGCCATGAGGTATTGCTTCAGGGCTCACGTTAGTAACCTATATGAAAGTTTACCTGAATCTGAATCATAAATGTATGGTGGCCTAGTGGTAAGGTTTGTCAGTATGGTGCCTTCAACCGTGGATTCTAATCCCATACCTTGCCTCTTTTTTACATAGTATTTCTAGTACACTTTCTCTAATTGACAGTCAATCACTAGCAGCCGTGTTAATTATAATCAATCACCAGATATATTATTCCTGTTGATAACAATAATTAGTAATTTAGAGATATTTGAATCAAACAATATTTTTCTTACCAAAAATTAAAAATAAATAATAAAAAAAATAATTTTTACGAAAAAAATTTTTTTGAAACTAAATCTAATTTGATTACATAAAAAAATAGGTTTACCATTTGAAAATTGAAAGTTGATATTGATTTAAAGCATAAGTGATGATCATAAAAATGTAATTTTACTCTTTGCGCAGCCCAAGATAGAAACATAATATTTCATATAGAAAAAAAAAAGATAACTTATATTTTCAGAGATAATTTGTAAGCCATAGTTATTCTATTTCGCTGGATATATTAGGTTGGTCCTTAAAATACAAATTTTCAAAATTCTATTTTACCAAAAAATTATTCTACTACATGTAAAAATAATCTGTAAAATTTGGTCCCGATAGATTAACATTACCACGAGCCACAAGAGGGTTGAAAATTTGATCAAAAAATAGTTTTTCAGTTATTGTGCTTTATCTCAAAATTTATGATCTTTACGTAAAAGTATATAAGAAAGAAATTATACATGTAATTATTTTACATAAAAAAGGTTATTAGCAAAAATCACATAAGTCATATATTTACACCCTAAAAGTCAAAAGTTCTATATATATTATGTTAACTAATAAAATTCATAAATTTCGGTAATTTAAAAATATACAATTCAAGATATAAATAAAATTTTCATAAAAAAGTTTTTGTAATATTTAATTAATATAAAAAGTTTATTGAAACTTTTAACAAAACATTATGTCAAATACTAAAAATAGGTATAAAGGAAATGATTAATTAAAGGAAAAAATTAAAACAAATCATGATTAAATTTAAAAATAAAATATAACTTTTATAATTTATCAAAATTAAGATGAAATTTAAGATTAAGTAGAGTGAAAAAATTTTTGACACATACAATTTATGGTCGTATTCAAATAAAAGTTTTGAAAACGAGCATATGAATTAACTTACGTAAATTATATTATAATTTTTTTTATTAATGCAATTGTAAGTACTATTAATACATATCTCCTAAATTCATATAAGAAATTTTAATTTCAGTTAAACATATTATATTTATGTGTAATTCAACCATATATATAGAAAGTGTAAAAAAAATTATTTTATATTATTATTGGTTACAATTTTTTTACATGGTTACCACATTGTTTATTTTGAGAAGTTGTTTTCTACTCGATAAATATATTTAGTTGTCACTTTTGCATTTGACACTTTGGCGAATGTTTGTTAAATTTAATTTAATAAGTTTTCTATAATAATAAAAGCAAATTGATTTCTTAAACATAGTTTTATTAAAAATAGTGTGTACACACAAAAAATATGTCACGCTACAGTTCATCTTTATCAAGTAACAGCTCATCATCGTCATGTAGCGATGATTCTTCTGACGAAAGTTCTTCTTCAACTGGAAGCTCATCGTCGTCTAGGTGTAGTTCATCTTTGTCAAGTGTTAGCTCATCGTCGTCTAATAGTAGTTCATCGTCGTCCAGTAGCGATGATTCATCGAACGAAAGTTCGTCTTACTATGGAAGATGTACGAAAAAAATTAATTTAAAACGCAAATATAATGATTATTTGGATGAACCTAATAAAAAAATGTAATTTATTTATTATTATAAAAATTAAATTAGTATATTCAATTTATATTTAAGATATTAATTTTCTAAAAATGTCATTTTTAAATGGTAACGCAAAGAAACATGAACGTTTTAATATTTTCTTAGGAATCGGCAAGATAAAAAATTAATACATTCTCGACAAATTTTAAACTAACTATAAACTATTTTTAAGGTGTTGTGAGTTACCGTGTGCTGTTGGCGATGATTGGTCATTTAAAGGTTATCCGTGGCTGTTAGATCCTGAACGTGAGACTAATTTTAAATGGAGTAATAACAAATCGATGATTGGTATGTAAAAGTTTATTGAAGTTTAGTTATATTTAAACCCACTTGATTATATAATTATAATGTAGTCGTATAATTATAAAATCGTATTTATAATGTCTGTAATAAGTATAATTATTATTTCAAAAAAAATTATTTATAAATTATTTTAGATTTGCCTGTCGAAAACAAAATAACGGTCACTAGAGGAACAGATGTTGGTATTAAAATGGAAAAGGATTTTCTAGCAGGCGATTTCGCTACTAACGTAGAACCAATTATAAGCAACTCTATTGAATGTCAACATGCCAATTCGCATAATAGCGAGGAGGATAACAGTTATTCTGAAAATGTTGATTTAACCAGTACCTCACAACACAATGTTTCCAAACCGGAGTATAACACTTTTTTAAAAAATGTTGTTAAAAATAATACAAATGACCTCGATGAAGAATCAGTTATGAACGAAGATATACATGTCGACCCTAAAAATATTCAACTGGATATGAATGTTGATATTAATAATAATTGCTCGGAGCCCAGCACTTCGAATAATGAAAAGTATTCAAATACTAGTCGTTGTGTCAAATGTAAAATATTTACTCCATGGGGAGAAGATTGGTTTTATACGACCCATACTGATATGTATACAGGTCCTAGGTATATAACTTTGATGAACCCTTTGAACGAATTTCCCGTTAGTTATGTGGAAACTATTGATCTCATAGATTCAGACGACGATGAGCAACCTTTTATGAACGGGAGTACTGCACGTGGAACAGAAGTGCAGCCAATGAACGCACTTGCTCACACAAATTTTCATGATAATAATTGTGATGGAGGTCAACCTTTCATAGTTGATCATTATGAAAAAATCGCCATAAGTACTACAGAAGGTATCAGTTTTGTATACGACTGGATTCCAGAAATGCGTGAAGTAATTTTTAAGAATGACAGCATATAAAACTAAATGTATTAACTTATATTAAGTTAGACAAATTGATGATGATATAAATTGCTAACAAGTTTTCATATTGTTCTATTAGTTGAACAACTTTTTATTCTTTTTTTAATTAATCGGAAATTAATTTTTTTACCTTTGATGTACCTATGAAAATTATGTCACTTTATTTATGTTTTGAAAACTATTTTCCGTTTTATACGAATTGATTTTTTTGTTAATGCTAAAATGTTGATAAATAATTAAAAAAAATGTATTTTATTATTATTATTATTTTGTTAAATAAATTTTATATTTTAATAAAAATGTGCATTGATTTATTTCAAAACTAATTTTATTTTTTACTATTCTAGTGATTGTAATGACCATTGATGATTCAATTTTGTAAATAAAATTTATGATTTATATGAATAATAAACAATTTTAAATTGAAATATTTAGTTTACACTTCGGTAATAATATTACTTTGATAATATAGTTGAAAATAAGTTATATTGTTTAATTTTTGGTATTTGATTCAAGAACAAATTATATTTAAATTACATTTGTACTTTTTTTTTTGTTTTATGTACACAATAGTTTATTCATATTAAAGATCATTAAAATATAAATCAAATCTTTTAATCTTCATATATAGGTGTAAGTTGTACAGTGTAAATCTGCATTTGCAGATTGTATTGAGAGTTGAAATAATTAAAAAATATATATATGAGCATAAAAATAATTAATCATTTAGTTTACACTTAAAATTTTATTTATGATATTTTATTCTAATAAAAGTTGTCAAAAACAGACGTGCATTCACATAAATGCCTTAAGTTACGTTAATCTTGCATAAGATAATGTTTATATAATGTAAAGAAATTTCAATTATTGATTCATTGATTTATAAAACCATCTCATTCGTAAAAGTCAGATCCATTTTATATACGTGTTAAAAAAATACAATACAAGAGGGAGTTTTTGAAGTGGCAACCTTGCGCTTAGATTCGAGATAAGTTAATAAGCTTAAGAGTAACATTCATAAAATAAAATGTATTAGTTAAGTACCTGTGATAACGACTGTTTAGTTTTGTCGATTTTCTTTTTCCGATATTCAGAATTTATCATTGTATTAATATTGTAATAGTGAATTTTGTAGTACGAACCGTTACGATTTAACATAGTATTAATGAATGTTTTAACAAGTGTACCAATTGTGTAGGTATTATTACTACTAAATTAAGCACTATATATAAAAAAATTATTCAATGAGTAATGTATGAGTGAGAGCCAGACGATTGTAACGTGAGCGAATCTCATAAAAGGGTTTTTCTTTTGTGACAATTACGTGTTTAAGTATTCTTATGTATTTTAATTTGATTATCTGGTTGTTTACTGAACTACTGTGGGCGGCTGTGTATGAGGTTTATTAAAAATAAGCGCAATTATTAAGACATATGCATTAATTAGAATCATTTTGCAAATGATTGTTTTTAATTAGATTTATAATGAGAGAAGAAAATGAAATATGGTGCACAGATAAAATACCAATAGTTGCCATGTAATAAAAATAATTGAGTAAATAGATAATAATTTTCTATTTAATTGAATTTAATTATTTAATTAATCTTACTATGTAGAGAAATGCCAATTTAATAAACGGGGGTTAATAATTAGTACACTCACAATGTCGTTACATTCTTAGGTCAGAAATCGCATATTAATTTTCGATACGCTATCTAATGAAAATGCTTCGTTGGCCAATACGCTGCATCAGCAAAGTCGCACGGTGTTGAGACCGATATGAATGATGGCCTATAAATAAAAACTTTAATTCGTAAAATGACATCCAGGAAAATCATCTGGGCAAAAGGCACGAATTACCGTCCGTAACAATTCAACAAATAGTTTTTTTTAATTGGACCATTTTCCTTTATACAGGAATGGTTAAAAACGTTAAACAAGCATATAAAAAGTAAAACTTTTTTGAAACCCCACACGCAGTTGATTTTTTAAAAAAATTTTCGTAATTTTTTTTTAGGTGGAAAAAATTCTAAATTCGTTTGATTTTAATCTCATTTAGATCGAATAACTTCAATGAATATCAAACACCCCATCACTGTAGTCTCGCCTTATGAGAAGAAATTAATTATTCTTAATAAAATTATTTTACTATGTGGTTTTTTTTTGTTGTCTTTCATTTTTCTCACTTTTTACTTGAACAATGTTTATCCACGATACATCAAATATTTAATACTAGCACCTAGTTAAAGATATTACCCTCAAAAATTAAAAAAGGAATTCCACATTATCAGTTAAAAAGTTATATAGTCCACAATCTTCATATAGACAATATAAATTATTCATTTTTAATGTTCTTAAAGTATTTATTATCAAATTAGCTTTCATATAATAATAGGTTTTTAACTATAAAATTTAATGTGTAGATTTATTCAACAACAAATTGTATTTTTTTTTTAGTTTCGATGTGATACTAAAAAGATCTCGTGATGATTTGCATTTTTTTTATGTGTCCATAAAAATTCTCAGCTATTACTAAACCAATTTTAATGATCAATATATCAAATGAACGGATTTAATCTAGGTGAACTAATAGTCATAAAATATTAGAAAAATTCCTTAATTTAAGAAATTTAGACTCAAATTATAATAAACTTGGCAAACTTTTCATTCTAATGATGTACAAATAATTAACCTGGATGATAACTTTTAAATCAACTTATTATGTTTAACATCAACATTCCCACAGAGTAATAGATTGATATTTTTTAACTTTATCAGAAAAAATATTCTTTTGACTTAATGGCAGATAATTTATGAGTGAATTCAAAAATAAAAAATTAAAGTATCTTCATATATGCTCCTCTAAATGATGTTTAAGAGGAATCTTCTACAATATTCTAACTGTGAAAAAAGACCACGTTCCAACCTTCTCCCTCTCAAAAAAGTCTACCTATCAAAATAGTGATAATTACATAGTGTCAAGTTTGTTCTTTAGTTCATAAACTTCAATCCTACTTTCATGTACAACAATACTCCTTTATTCATATTACTTAATACTTCATTTTTAAGTAAGACATAAAGTAGATTTTTCCGCAAATTACAATTAATCCTGTGAGAGGATCTCGATCTTCTTTTCCTTTCTTCTAAGTTTTCTCTTTCCTATCTCCCAGGAAATTCCTAAATGAGTATTAAGTCAATACTTGGCCAAGTGTTAATATAACTAAAGGAAAAATTTTGGTTATCAAAATAAAACTGAAGTTGAAACTTGGTCCGTTTTCACAGTTAGGTTTTTGTAAGGATATTTTCTCTTTTTTAGTGGTATAAGTAAGCTAAATACATCATTTTCATGAGCCACTAAAATATCAGAAGTTTAGATTGCCCGCCTTGATACCCTCAAGTTACATTCCTGCTTGTAGCATAATTTATTTGAGGAAATAACATATTTTCATATTTTTCATTTTACTTACACTGTTAAAAATCTACCTTTGTGTCAAATTTCATGTTTCTACACATACAGGAAATGTCTGATAGTAAGTCAGTCAAAAAATATGACAATTGATATACTCCTATTATGAGATGGTATAAATGTATTAAGATTTTTTTTTTAATTAAAAATGATTACAATAACAAAATTTTTCGTAATTAATTTTGCAATAACATATCAAATTAAATGTAGGGGTTTCCATTAAAAAAATTAGTTGATGTTTATCTTTCAAAGGATGAAAAAAAATTGTTTGAATATATATTATTGTAGTTCTTTGAACCTAATATTTTACTTTTAAAATTAAAAAATTTTCAGTAGTTTCTAAGAAAATTAGTATTTTACCAAATTTGGACCACTCTGTATTTATAGTTTTCAATAATAGTGTGGAAATTACAAGCATAGCTAGTGAAAATTTATTTGGTATTTTTTAAAAATTGAAATGACACTAATGCATTTAAGTACCCTGATTTCTTTTTACCAGTAGATTAAGTCCAAGGCTATAACAGACTTGTATTATTAAAAGATTTCCTAATAATTTTATCATCAAATAATAAAATAAATAAATAGTTAAAATAACATGAATGATTTAATTAATTTTATTTAAATTTTTAGAAAAAATATTTTTCTTTTTGGTGAAATCATTCAATTATTCATTCATTACAAAAATATAAAAGAAACAATTTTTTCTATGAAGGGATAAAAAAAATCCAACATTATACAATTTAAATCAATTACTGATTTTTTTTTAATTTATAGATACAAAAAACAAAGTTTATTCAATGAATATTCAAGAATATTGTTGACAATTGGTAATAAACATCTCTACAAAAAAAACTCCCCTCTTTTCTGTTATATTTGACTTAATAAGTTATATTAATTTATTTCAACATATTCACTTAGAATTGTAAATTATTGTGATTGTGAAGCTGTTGCAGTTGGTTTACTCCGATGTGTTGTAGATGTAGAAGATACTTGTTGAATTGCATTATCTTTAAAATGTTTCTCCACCTGTAATAACATTCATTAGACAATTACAAAACATATAATAATAGCATATTAATCAAATAACAGTACCAAATTAATATTAACAAAATAATTAGTTTAATTTTATATACTAACATATTAAAAAAAAAAAAATCAAATTAATTAGTGTAAACTAAAAATTTTCAAAAAAATTCAAGGTTCAAAAAATTAATAAAATGCACAAATGTAAACATTCATTATATCCTTAAGTTATATGTTATATGGAAAAAATTGTTGTCATATTGTTACATCATTATGGATAGTTTTTAATAGGTGATTATGATTATTTAAAAAATCATTATAGTTAATAATAAGAGAGCAAGAGGGAGGGAAAAAGATTTAAAATTGTTAAATGATAAAATATCAAATAAGTCAATCATAATACCCCAAATATACACTGTATCTCCTAGGAAGTTTTAAAGGTGAAGATTTATAGTTATAACACCAGTGTCTTCAGTTAGATTTTTTTTTTATACCTTTTAGTGAAAACTATAATAGTCTAAAATAATGAGGTATCAATAATCAAAACTTAAAAACAAATATTGCAAAAATTAAGTATTTTTGGAGCCAGTATGTATTTATTAAAAACCAAAATCTATCAGATGAAGATAATTAAACAAATCTTTATTTAGATAAGTTTGCATTATGTTGAGGTATGCATTAAATTAAAATAAAATTTTAGTTAATCTTTAAATTAACATATGACTAAACATTATATTAATATATTGAGACATTTTATATTGATTTAGTTTCCCTAACATTCTATTTAAAAATAGGATGTCAAATTAAGTATCATTGAATTTTAATATACACTAAAAATTGAACTAAATTTCTAGAAGTATCTAAAATACATAGCAATATATATCAAAAGTGTTCTAAAAAAAGTTAAATAATTAAAATAAAAATTTAGTTTCAACCCCTATATTAACTAAAAGCAAGGGTCAAATTTAATTTTTTTTTTTTTGTCATTAATGTTTAAATGTATTATAACATTATCTTACAATTGAGATTAACATCATTCAACATTTAAAAGTTATACAATTTTTATGTTTAACATTAAAAGGGTTTGGCACATAATTCACTGCCATATATAGTTTTTAATATGGGCAAATGAATAAATTTTTCTTACATAAATGTTTTTTAAAAAGAATTTATGTATGTTATTCATAATGATTTCTTGTCATAACTATAATATTTCATTAATGTCACATTAAAAATATTCTATCACTTTTTTATATAAATTAAAATAAAATCAACATTAAAACAAAATAAACAAAAAGTTTTAAACTTGAAACACCTGAAACACCATTCAATACCACTAAAGGTTTCTTGTATTTTCAAAAATAACAATTAAAGATAAACTAAATATATAAATATTATGTTTTTCATAAATTTATAAAGTCTCATATATTTTTTAATTAATGGATTAGAATAGGTTTCATTATTCTAATGTATTATACATAGTTTTTTTAGGTAATAAAGTAAATGAGTAACAATTTTATTTTTATTTTACTTTCAGGGGAAAAAAATGTAGTTAAAGAAATCAATAATAACTCTGAATAATTCATAATTGCTTACTATATTTTTTATGTACACTATAGCTTTATCTTCTGGATTGCCTGTACCTTTGACATTTTCAGGCTTATAAGGAGGACTTATTATAACCTGATCATACACAACAATATTCTGTCCCTGCCAAGATACTTCTGGAATCCTACAAAATTAAAATTATAAAATTAACAAATTTATAGAATTAATATTAATAAATATAATTACGTTTTGGTTATAGTCATATACAATTTTTGTGCTTCTGGAGAAACATTAGCTGACATAGCTGATATCTGACGTTTCTTATCTTGTATTTGAGTTTTTATTCTATTATTTATCTATGAAAAAAAAATTATTTACACCGTGTAACGATACAACTTTTTTAAACTTAATTAATGTAAGATTACTTACCCTATTTAAATTTAATGAAGGCAACGGCGGTGGAACAAAATTAGATTCTTTTTTAACTTGCACATCTTTGGCAAATGCGAGGTTTACTATATTAATGTCATTTAATGTAGAATTGTTACTAGTTGATGGACATTCTATAGAAATATATTAAGGAATTTTTTGTATTCTAAATAACCCAATTTAAATAATGATAGTAAATTTGATTCTCTTCATACAAATCGATATTATATGGAGATATTTAATCAATTAAATTAAAAATAACAAATCACTGATTGAAATAAAGGATTGTAAAAATGTACTTATCTTTAATACACAATATAACTGATAACGAAAGATTTAACACGAGGGTTTTCTAATGAACTACTCTTAATTTCTCAGTAATTTTGTAAGTAAAAGGATACTCAAAATCAACATTTTCGTATTTGGTTCAAATCCGAGCACCTCGCCTTCAATCTCCTCGTCGAAGCAGTTAGTACAAACGACAATACTACCGATAGAAAAACACTCATTGACACCGGCCATTTTGTGTTTCCCATAAAAGTTTATCGCCATCTAAAACACAGAATACCGGTTGACGACGACGATGATCGACTGAGGAGTATAACGGAATACGGGTGCGGATCCGACACTCGCACAATCTCCGGTCGACGTCTTTTAATCGAATTTTAATTTTAAACTATGATTATCTAAAAATATAAAATAAACTTTACCTAAGAAAAAAACACCGCACTTACGGTAAAAATGTGCGTATGTGTGAGTGTATATGTAATGATTGTCTCGATCAAGTTTGCAATGGTCATGCGGGCGCATGACACAAGGTTAGTTAGGTGTACTGTATAAATGTTGTAATAGTGATAAGGATACAGTTGTATATTTATGACGTCATGAGTGTATCACAATACATATCGCCAACAACCTGTCTTTCAATAAGTAGGATCAATCACTAAAATTTTCTTATAAGTTTTATTTATATTGTTCTACAATAAAAATTGATATTACTAATCATAAATTTATAAAAGTAAGAAGGTATGACCTACATCATTAAGCAAAATAAACACCGATAATTCGATTATTGGAAGCAAATTAGAATTCTCAAAAATTAATTAATAGTGCTAAATTATCTAAAAATAAAGTTAATATATATTTCAAGCAAGTAATCTAGGAGACTCGAATACAGTGCAGTGAAGATATTCTATTACTTTATATAGTTGCAAAACTATATTAGATATAAAAAAGATTAACCTCATTCAAAATGATTATTGTTTATTTAATAAACTTTTCAAAGCGTCGTTTTTTATAAAGTGAATTTGTACTATTTTCAAAAAAAATATTATGCATGAGAAATTTTAACTTATTAATAATCTACTCTACTACACAAAATTTTGTCAAAAAAATTAATTTGTCTTAAATAAGTAGAATAAAATATTTCAATTTATATAATTTTCTAACATATAATCACAAAAATATTGTATCCTTTAGGGGTTATATTGATAACGTCCATATCACTCAAGCTTAAAAATGGTAATACAAAAAACTTAAAAATTTTTTACGAATCCAAAAAAAATACATTTCAAGACTTAAGTTTGAAAATTATAGTGACTAAAACGTTATAACCTGAATAATAATATTTATTTGGTGTATTTTTTTTTTTTTGATAGTTACATATCACTTTTTAACTGCTGCATCGAAAAAGTTATAAATTAGCGAAAGCAAAGCTACAAGACTAAATATTGGAATCAAAATTGGTGGAGAAATTGTATCAACGATACGATTTGCTGATGACATTGTGATAATAGTAGAGAGTGAAGATAACATACAGCGTGCAGTTGAAGAAATGGATGAAATGCTCAGAACATCAGAAATGAAAATAAATAGTGCAAAAACGAAGACTTAGTCTACGCCAGAGACCCGAAAGTAAAAGCAGATGTATACATATATAGTCAAAAATTGTAGCAAGTAGAGGGAAATAATATACCTAGGGAGCAAAATCACATATGATGGTAAGAGCATCCGCGAGCTAAAACAACGCATGGCATTAGCAAAAACTGCTTTTGGTAAAAATATAAGTTGCTCACTTTAAAAAAGTTATATCTCAGTATCAAGAAGATACTTATAAAAACAGTGTTGTTCCGACATATGGATGTGAACCTTGGGCAATAAATTATACCGAAAAGAAAAAATTAGAAGCCTTCGAGATGTGGTGTTGGAGGCGTATGGAAAAGATAAGTTAGATAGAGCGGAAAACAAGTGATGAAATACATAGAGCTGTGGGAGAAAAACGCACATTTATATATGCAATTAGAGCAAGATGCTTGAAAATGATTAGACATGCCCAGAGACAACCAGAAGAGTTGCATAATATAATATTAGAGGGTATGATAGAAGGAAAGAAAAGTGCTGGACGTCCCCGAAACTCATATATAGAATAAATTAAATGTGATGCAAGAGTCAAAACCTTTAAGGAACTTAAAGAAAAGGCGAGTAACCGGTTAGAATAGAGAATTGTAGTTACAAACCAACCTTCGGGTTGATAAAGAAAAACATATCAAACATTTGCTTTAGCACAACAGATAAATCTAACAGTTATTTATAGACCAATCGTAATAATGCAATACAAGTCTGTTATCAGCAGTTGTAATATGTTTAAAATTGTCGTGCACGAATATAAAAACCATTTATAAATTCTATAATAAAAAAAGTTTACTAAATTTGTAAAATAAGAAACATTGACTAAAGCATAAATAATAATATTAAAAAATTACATTTAAATCTATGGAAATTATAATCTAAAACATAACTTTTTTAAGATCTTGACTTTCACTATGTTATAATAAAATGGCTTTTCCATCATATTCGTTTGTCATATCTATCTTGAAACGTGAATCTGAATACCTGTAGATATTAGGACTCAATTTACATCTTATTAAATTAAAACTTGAGACTCAATTACAATTTGATAAAATTAACTTTTTTTCAGTGGAGATTCAATTAATATTTCCCCGAAATTAATCGAATAAAGAAAAAATTCATACATAAAAGTTATATAGACTTAAAAACAAAATTTTGAACTTAAAATAAAAAATAGGAATCAGCAGCAGAATGGAGGAGTAAAAGTCGTATCTTTTAAAATAAAATTTACAATTTGGAAAATCATATTTTATTATTCAAGAGATAAGCCTGTTTTTAATATAAAGAAGTATAAAATATTTAAATACAATGAAAATATTTAAAAATATCCAATTGAACTTTTATAAACTTCTTATTATTCAGTTCACAACTTATGACAATATACTTAAAACAATATTTTAATATTATTATTAAGAATAATATAATAGAATAAAATAGTTGAGAGTACTAATTTTATTTTCTCACCGCCCTAAAAAATACTTTATATAACAATATACCTATTTTTCTTAATTGGATGGTGCTAATTCATTGTCTTAGGGAAATAAACCATTCTCTAACTTCTTCCTTCTAAATTACGCCTGTAGCCCTGACCCCTTTCACTGGTACAAAATACAAAATCATGGTATCTGGGTTACGTGAAGGCCCGACATTCTCATCATTCTGCGTTTGAAAAATTATATGGCACTTTTTCTTACAATTTAGAAATTTGTAATAAGGCGCATTTAGAAATGTTGTAGTCCTTGTAAGTTATATAAATGTTATTATCATAAAAATTCCTACTCCTGCCAATGTAATCCGGATGAAAGATCTGTAATATAGAATATTTAAGGGAAAAATAGACAATAAAATATAATTATAATCAGGGGTCGGACAGTTCAACATTTAAACGCTTTATAATTTTTATCTCTAACATTATCACGTTAAACAATTTTTTTTATTAACATTTTAACGTTACTAAATTTTTGTATTTAAAATTAAAATTGTTCGGAATATAATTCTCTATCGTACACAGTTTTTATTATGGGAAAATTAGTACTTTTTTCTTAGATAGAATTTTTTGAAATGTAACATTTAAAGAAAAATTTTCTTTAAAAATATATTTAATATATATTAAAGTCGTATTATGTTTAATAATTTTTTACGTTTATTGATATCACATTTTTTTTATTTTATGTTTGAATTACTTTAAAAAAAATGTTTGTTATACAATATGTTCAGTAAGTAAGGAAAAGGCTTTTTATTGCTCTCATTATTTGTAACAACTGACCTGTTTTCTTACTTACTGAACACTCTGTATAAATATTTATTATAAAAGCTATAAAGAATCATTTTATAGTATTACAAAAAAAAAAAAAATATACCATATAATAAAAATTGATTTTGATATAACTAACTTGTAAATGCATTAGTGTCCCTAGCCTTGAAATTTATGTAAGTTCAAATACTTTTTTTTTTTTACGCATTACATTTTTTTGATAATTAGTTAGTTAGCAAATAAATTAATAACCCTTCAAAAAAATGCAGAGTTACTATTGAAATAATATTGCATCTTTTTGTCAAAGATTAATTATTATTTTCGACAAAACAATTTAAATTAATAAATTATTTATTTATTAATTAATTAATAAATAAATTGAAATACGTATACCCTTAGATATCACCAAATTATTTTTATCGATAAAATAAAAATACGTCACTTTTAAAAGATGTATATTTTTCAAATTTGTCTGTTATATTTTTACTAAAATTATACTATACTTAATATTTTAAGTATTAAATAGGTTTCTATAAAACAGAAACATGCAATAGTGTTTTTAAAAATGTTGTATGGGAGATAACTTTTAAAATATAGAGTAGTAGGGAGTTTCACCTTTTCACTATACCCGCTGTAATTATTTTTTGTCTATGGGTCTGGATTTAATGAATTCTTCATTTAATTCATTAAATACGCTACTTGAAGCATAGTTTCGATATGGGAAGGATGTACATAATAATTTTTTTCACTACCCTCTCCTCTAAATAAAATAAATAATATCTTTAATGTATAATTATTATCTTGGGGATATGGGTATATAGGTGTTAAATCCCCATTATTGTGACAGTGACACAAAAACCAAATTTAAAATAAATATATTTCTGTATTTTTGTATTGACCGGTTGTCATTGTCGTAATTGTTAAAAGTTATGTAAATTAATACCTTAATTATTTTACATCTAGGTCAGCAATAGGTTATTAACATTTTAAGAACTTCTTAAATTTAAATTTAATTTGCATAGATGAATGGTTTACGCACTGAAAGTGCTCTAGACTAGGAAGCCGTAACTAAAGTTCCTCATTTGTGCAATAGTGCAATAAATTATATTATAAAAATTTTACTAAATATCATATTATTGAGATCTGTAATTATTTTTATATAACGTAAATAAAAAATCGTTATCATTAAAAATTAGATTAATTTATTTTGTATCAATATTCATTAGTAATGGTTTATAATCTTTAATAAGTTATTTTATTTAATTAATTCCTTGTCATAATTCCATCGGAGAGAAATAGGTTAAGACGTTGTGACGTCACAATTCAAGCGACAATCACATATGTTTTCTAAACCCTGATACCGCACAATTTCACCCTCTCTACCATACTGCTTATCAATTAATATAGTGTTCGACAACACATGTTATTATCGCGTCGGCCGTTGCATTTATGTACTCTTTGCCTTTTCCCACTTTTCTCCCCATTTGTATTTTCTTTTCTTTTTCATCATTCTCATGCTGATAAATTAATCCGTTTGTGTTGGTTATTTTTTGCTCACTCAATAATAATCCATTAATTTATTTCACTCTTTTCCGCTCCTGCCACTAGTTCACGTTTTTTGACTGGAACAAAACATGGCCAATAAAAACTTTTAAAATAATTTTGTGTAGTATAAATTAAAGTTTATATTTTACATGAAGTTAACTTTTGCTAAAGTCGATTGAACTTAATTTTTTATATAGTCGCTGTTACACCATACATGTTAAACACTTAGACGCCGGGTCAATAAGGTCTAACGTCTTACTACCTGGTGAACACATTTCTTCATCTTGGTGAGTATTTTTATCGAAGGAGCGTTGTAGTTAGTGCGAGGGCGGGAATCATTTAACCGCCTTCGTTTGATTAGGTATGTTCTATATTCTTTGAATAATACGACTCGGCTATGGGGGGAGAAATGTACAAAATTAAAATCGTATTATAATTTTGTTTTAATTTTTGATATATAAATTTCATGTAATTGTTTTTCAAAATCAGCCCGTTGCTTATCACTCCACCATAGGAAATCCCAGCCGCATCTTTGACACTAAATCTAAATAAAAAGTCTTACTAAAATTTGAAAAATGTCTTTCAATTTTGTTTCAATTCCACACAAATTTACAATTTATTTGTATTATTATTTCTTGTAACTCGTATAAATTTGTTTTTTATTTAAAATTTGTATTTCACATTTATAATTTTAATTTATTATATAAATATAATTGACAACCCACAGATAAAATAGCATTTTTAAAATGAAAAAATGAGAATATTTAAATTAAAATTTTGATTAATTTTTTTATCTCTAATTTAGAGTTATTATTTTGTATTTATTTATTTGAATTTTATTTCATAGATTTATAAAATTAAAAAAATAAGATGATAAAATAAATTATTTTTATTTATCTTTATCTTGATCTTATTTATTTTTAAAATTTTTACAAATCTTAATATGTATATACAGGTGTCCCACCATTATTTAATTATTTGACTATACAAACTAATATTAAAATTAGTAAATGATAGTGAGACACCCTATATATATAAATTAATTATATATATTCATTAAACATTAATTATTTTTATGAACTAAATATAATAAAATATTACTCATTTTTTACTCAGGAATAAAGTTTATTGTGATAGGTCTGAATTAGCCAATAAGGTTAATTGTAGTTAAAATATTATAACTTAATTATTTCAGATATTTTAAAATCACAGTTTATGTTTTTAATTTCATTCTCATTTCAACTTAGTATGTCTAATTTTACATATAATTATATTTCATTAATTTTGAATTAATATTACTTTTCTTTGTATTTCTAAATTTAAAAATGGATTTTATGTTTAAATTATTTACAAAGATATCTAACTAAAAAAAATAATTTAAAATTACTATTATTGAATATTATCTCAGTAAATTGGTCCTCTTGTAAAATATAAACTACCAAATTGTTGCACTGGACAAACTGATTCTCAGACAATTTTCAAAAAAAATTTTTTTTTATTTCTATGAAATAATATTTGCCCCAAAATCAGCATACAATTCTTTTAAAATTTCAAATTTTAATAAAGTTAAAATAAAATAATCATAAGTATAATTTTGCATAAAAATTTCCTAAATTTTTAAGATAAAAATTATGAATAAAAATTGCATTGTATATTATATAAATCTTATTACATGATTCTATCTTCTATATAACTGATATAAAAAAATGTTGAGACAATTGATATTTGTATTTTTATCTAATATCCAATAAGATTGCATGAACGAGACCTAAAAATAATTAGTAATTATTGTATATTAAAATCAAAATATATGAAATAAATGTGTTGCAAAACTTATTTATTATTAAAACTATTTAATTTTTGTTATTAGGTCTTCTTGCGTTCTTTCATCTTTCTTCTTGTACTATTGATAAATTGATGTCACAAATGAAACGAAACCAGAAGGTACACATTTTTAATTAATAAACTCTTAAATTACTAATATTCTAAACATTATATTTAATAAAATATTTTGGAAAAAAAAAAGTTGGAAATTTGACTCTTAACAGAAAATTATTTTCAATTATTGCTCCTCCCATGAAATGTTTTATAGTATAAATTTCTTTATAATTAAGAGCTATAGGTTTTGAGATTAAATTTAACCCATTAAGCTTGAGGTTTTTTTTAAAAAGGTCATTTTGAAATACTAGTATTGGATTAAAGCTGTACCTAAAAATTATTGGCACAATTAAGTTAAGCATAATAAAATAATAATTTAGAAAACAAATAGTTGTTTATCATAAGTCCACATGACTTAGAAAAATTTTTTTGTTATTCTCAAATATTTAATTGTTACAAATTTATACTTTTTCCATGTTTTGCTAAAAATTGTATTCATTTATACTATAAATTTCAAAAGTTTTGATTGTAAGAAGCTCAAGGAAATACTATACTTTGTAATTAGGAATTACCAGAGTATAGTAACATAAATAACATTAGTTTAATCCAAGTTATTAATAAAACTATTTGATTAAAAGTAATTCATTATCTAATATATATATGAAGTGAGCCACTTAGAAATTTTTCTGATAATCAATAAAATTATTTGTTGCTAATATAAAACTGACAATTAATCTATTATTATAAGTTAAAAAACACAATTAAATTTATATTATATTTTAAAAATTGTTTAGTAATACATTTTAATTTCTTTTTATAACTCTTCATAATGTTGATTTGATTAGAGCAATTCTTAAAGACCCAGAGAGATACTTAACTTCACCAGAAAGACAGGACTCTTTGGACATCCACAGGGGTGACTTGATAGTCTACCTTTTATACAATGATAGGTATAATGTAATAACGCTTTGATGATATCACTTAGGTGTGTAAACCGAATCATGACAATTCAGTATGAGGTGTGCAAAGTGGACCAACATGTCTGAGTGCATTTCCATCTCCATGATAACTAAAACTAAGAGCATTTCTTAAAAATTAATTTTTTAATTTCACTAGTTATACTCCCTTGGTTTTTTATAAAAGTAATAACCAATTTTCTGACATAGCAATATTTGTTATTGGTTCATACAGAGGTCACACTTAATGAAACATCAGTTTATGATTTCTAAGTCTTACATGATGACTACTTTTCTTTTAAAAATATTATAGTTATCATGTACCATGTAAACTTAAATAAATAAAATTTATTTATAGTTACTTATTTTATAAAAGTAGAATACATCTATTAACTTTGAAGACGGCTATCAACCTTCAAATTTGTCAACTATCAAAGAACCAACTGTCAGAAATAATAACAGTACAGTGGCTGACAAAAGGAACGGATCTACCATGGTGCCAAACCGAATATTTGTCGGAGGCTTAACCAATGGTACTACTGAACAAGAATTAAGAAATTTTTTCTCAATTTATGGTGAAGTAAAAGTGGTAAAAATTGTCAAAGATAAATCTGGTGCACTAAAAGGTTTTGGTTTCATTACTTTTGGATCTGATGATGAAGTGAAGAAAATTATTGATGCTGTATGAATACATTAATTAATACTTTATATAATTTTTTGCATTCGAGTATAAAGAAATTAAATAAATGTTTATCAATTTAGGGACCTGTTTTGATTTTTAAAGATAAACGTATCAACATAGCACCTGCTTTTGAAAAAGTATGTTTTTAATTAACACTTTAAGAAGTAGTTTTGTTATGAATATATAATTTTTATCAGGATAATAGGACAAATTATAATGACACCAGTATTTCATCTTCTCAGCAGCAGTCTCATTTAATGCCTTATGGCAATCAAGTTCAACCATACTCAGTTCCCCCTATGGCAACACCAGCTCAACCAATGTTAACCCCTATTATGTACACTTATCAAAATGGTATGGCATTTTTTAATATGCCAGTAAATGGAAATTCTTCAGTTGCTTCTCAACCTTCAGGACAATCCAATTCAGTTCCTTCTGAAACCTTAGTACCAAGTGTTTATGCAGCTGGTAGTAATTTCTATCATAGATAACTTTAATTTGTTTAATTGACAATTAAATTTTATAGCTCCGTATGGCCCCCAAAATACAACAGGTATGCAAGGTTATAGTGGTCAACCTATCTTCTATCCAAATCCTGTGCCCCAAGTCTTATTACAGCAGTCTTATTCAAACTTGCCAGTTAGTTCAGTAAGTCTTACTTAGCAACTATATTATTCTTTTTAGTTAGCATTTGTTAATTATTATAGGTGTGTAATGGTACTCAAGGATCAAAAGTTCTTTTTTCTATGCCTTGTGATACACCATACTACTCAGGAGCTCAAATGTCAAGTATGGTTCCTGGTTCTGATATGGCTTATTCAATGCCAATTATGTCTCCATATATGCCATACATGGTTGCTGCATCTGATTGTGGTTACCCATATTATGATCCAACAATGGAAAATATTCAACTTGTTCATCCTCCTATGTATGCAGAACAGTGCACAAGTTCTAGACCACCATCTTCAGATTCTACTGTAAATAACATACTTTTAATTATTACATTACATTATACATTTTACATTATACAAAATCAATATAAAAACAAAACTTTTTCATTTTAATTTTTAACTGTACTTATAAAAACCTTATATGTCATATTAAAATTTACGTAATTAGATTCAAGTAAGAAAAACATTGTCCTATTCACTTGTTTTTATTGACCATCAAAGATAAAAAATTTTGTAAAAAGTTTTAATTTAATTATTTTACCATAACTTTTAAAAAAAATGAATAATTCCAAAATTTGATATCTAAACACTTCATAGATTCTTTTGATATACAGAATGTCCTACTAATTTGACTATATAAACAAATTTTAAAATAAGTCAATCTTAGAGGGACACCCTATATTAATATTTATTTTTTATTTTTTGAAAATTCAAATTTTTGTCTAATTAACTAAAAGTAAAATATTAAAATTGCTGTTTTTTTTATATTGTAATGTATATTATTTGTTAATTTTTTTCACTAAGGAATGTTACTTATAATTTGGTTTATCTAATAAATCAGACTCCCTTTTATTTTATACATGGGGATTGAATGTACAAATTGATAAAAAAAAAAAATATTAGAATATTAAAATTTAAATGTATAAGAGTTGTCTTACTTTTTCAGATTTCTTAAAAATCAAAATAAAAATTAGTTTTCCAATTAAATTCTAATTCAAATTAATTGTTCAATATTTAATTTAGACTAATAATACCTGAATTTAACAATCTCATTAGTTTTGCTAAGTTACTTATTTGTTTTTTATAAAAAAAAAAATTAAGATATTAGTAAGCCTTTAATTAAGTTATACTTACTTTTAATTTTATAAATTTAGGGACAAACACAAGTAATTACTACCAATCAATTTGTATCGTTGATGTCAGTAGTTAGAAACGACGAGGAAAAACCTCAAATGTATTCACCTGAACCCCAACAATTGTGTTTAACTCCAGTCATAAGTTTAGCTGAACCTCCTCCTCAATCTGTTACTCAACCAGTAAACTCTAAGCCTACCACATCATCTCCACCAGATCCTGAAAAATCTGAGTCTAATCAACTACTCATGACACAGATTCAGTACAATATTAGGCACCCACCACCTACAATTAATAATCGTCCTGAACAAAAAGATCCTGTGAATAATAAACAACGGAGCGAAACACAATCTTATCAGGGCAATAATAATAATCTATCTGTTAAAAACAATAATGATTATTTAAAAAGTGGTCCTAAAAAGTATCCAGAAACTCGGACTTTCTATAAGACTGGACCATCCCAATCTCCCATTACTCATCCCCGACACCCTAATGGTCCTATGGTCAATTCTTCCTATGCTAATTCTTTTTATGTTCCTAATACTGGCTACCGTCATCGATTTCCTAAAGTGCACTATCCTACTGTTCCTCAGGTGATGCTAAATCCAAACTATCCTTATCCTGCTCAGGGAAATATACGCCCTACTAATGGACAGCAAATGTTCAACAGAGGAACGAGATACAGTAACAACTATCAAAAAAAAAATTATAGTGTGAGTATGTTTTATATATATTTATATAGATTTAATTAATTTTATTACAATTAACTTATTAAATATAAAGCAAATAATATTTGTTCAACTGTTCTTCTATAACCTGTTTCATTTATAACAATTATTACCTGATTTATAAATGAAATTATTTTTACAGTCATATAAAGGAAACCGAGTAAATCGATATATTCCTGATCAAGCTGACAACCTAGAAGTTTCCAGTAGTGAAGATAGTCGCGCAGATCCGTTGGCCGGAGGTGACATGAGTACTCCTCAGGTAGAAGGAATGTGTTCAGACATGAGGTCAATGACTATTTAAAAAAATAATGATAAAACCAAATGAAAAATTACCGCTTTTATATGTGATCAAAGTTTAATAGCCTCAACAAGACCGTTAATCTATAAAGCTATTCCTACACTTATTATTTTTCATAGTATTATTTAACTTAATTATTTTCTTAAGCTTGGAATGACGGTCATGCTGGTTAGAAAAATATATTTATATTTTCAAAAATATTTTGCCATTCTGTGTTCAAAATTGTTATTTATTAATAATTAATAAACACATATATTAGGTAATGGTGCATATTGTCGACCCTTTATGACAAATAAGGCTGTTTTACTGTGATATAATATAGAAACGCCTGTAAAAAACATAGACACTTACAGTACTTACTTAATGATTTAAAGGTCTCTAGTGAAATTTGCTCAAATAGGTTTGTAAAAAAATTCAGTGTTATTAGTGTTTATAAATAAACATATTTTTATGCTATATATAAATATATATGTATATTATACATATATTTATCATATGTATAAATATGCATTTATTTATTTTTTATCATTGTTAACCAAAAATGTTCAAGTACATTAATCCTACTTAGTATAAGAATATTGACAAAAAATTCACATAATTATATTTAATAAAAAGTTTTTTTTATATTATTTTATTGAAAATCAGATTAAATGTTAGCATACAGATACTTAAATTCTCAGAACTGAGTTTAATAGTGTAAAAATTACTGAAGTTAACTTGAATATATTTATATTGGGTAATGAAATTATCACATCTATTTATGTACAAAACAATTATGAAATTCTATGTCTCTTATTATAAATGTATTTTGAGTTCTAAAAATATGTATTTACTATGGTTCAATTAACAAAAATTCATTGCCATTTTTACTATAAAATTGTTAAAAACTGACTTTCTATTGTATAATGTAAGTAATAATACTGAAAATAAAATGTTATTAATTTTTTTTTGCTTAAAATGATTAAAATTCAGTAATTACTTTATAAAAAAATTTCAAAGGTACAAAATATTTCTTTGGTAATACAATAATTTGTATTAAAATTTATAAGCATATATAAATATAAATTGCCTATTTGGGCATTCATAATTTAAAAGTTAGTGAAAAAATACATTTGTAATATTTTAATAACATCACTATTAAGTAAACTTGGTAACAAGAATTTAACCAACTAAAAATTCTTTTGATAAAATGTAAACTTTTTGTTGACTGAAAAATAATATTTATTGGTGGTTTCTCAATACTGCCAAATAATAGATAGAAATAATATCGAAGCGGTATTTTTTTTTTTTGGATAATCAGTGATCTCTGAAGTGCCTGTATTCATTTTTTTTATTGTATCCTAATGTATATAAAAAAATGTTGATTATGAGTTAATTAGTTTTTAAGTAATTGTTCAGTAGATTATTATGTTTGTAAAGTTAAAGTTATATTAAAAGTTATAAAAAATGTTTATAGTTAAATATTATAATTTAATAACTAAAATACAATAATTTAGTAAGGAAACAAATCCTGACTTTAATTATTTATATTTATACAATTCATGTATACCTTTTTGCAAATTAAAAATAGTTAGAAAACTTCTTTACTATAACTTAAAACAAATTTGTTACTCTTTGTTTCTATATATGAAATAACCAATATTATTGTTACATTTTATGATTTTTTCCTTTAGATGTCATTTTTTTAATACTCTTTTTTCTTAATGATAACATTTGTTTGTATGGCCCCAATCTACGTCTGACCATAGTACCTCTCCACCAAGCTTGAATTTTAATTATCATATTTTCTTTATGTTCCGCATTTTTCCTATCTTGTTCTAATTGTATTTGTATTCTTTCGTATTCATCAATAATGCCTTGCCTTTTATAGAACTAAACATGATTTAATACTGTCAATGCAAATAAAAATTTAAATTCATCATTAAGCTTACTGTAAAACTAATAAGACTCTCTTCGTGTTTTTTGGTTTTCAAAAGTTGTAATAACTTATTTAATTTTTCATTTATTTCCACAATATCATTATCGTATTTTAATTTCCAATATTTCAACTGTTCATTTAGTTCCTTAACATAATATGAAACATGCATATATATTTACATATAAAACCTCGTAGTCATATTTTATGTTACATAAAACTTCCATTTGTATTTGTTGCTGTAGAAACGAATTTTAATTTTTCAGCATTAACATAATAGATTTACAACTAAAATTTTTCTTTTGTGATACTAATATGCGTAAAAAAGTAATGTAAAAAAAATTAAAAAAAAAAAAAGTTATAAATATGACTTGAGGTTTATTCACGTTGCCGAATATATGAAATAATCTTACAAAAATGCTATGTTTTAGGAATGATAAGCTTTCATTATCAATCATTTCCTCAGTTTCCATCCTACGTTTTGTATTTTCAATAAGTCTTGAAAGTTCGAACTCTTCTGAGACATGTTTTATTTTAAAATATTCTATTCGGGCTTTTTCCCATTTTTTTACGTATAGTTTTTCCATTCCCCTCATTATTAGATCTCCTTGACATCTTTCCTGTATATTAAAATTAAAAATTAAGTAGTTATTTTTTTTCATGCTTTTGCAGACCATTAAGGATCATAATGACCTCCCAGAAATAGTTACTTAGCCATGAATACTCCGGCATTTGTGATTAGTACTATTTTCGGATTTTATTCACAATTAAAGTTAATAAATGTTACATTTAACCAATACAACCCCCCTTGTACCTCACCTGGTTAGTTACAAGTGTTCAGGTGACCAATGTCATCTGCCCATTTCATCTACATTAAAAATAATATTTTTAGCCATACTAACATTACAGTTTTCGATAACTCTATCAATTTCTTGCTCCTTTAATGAAATCTGTTCTATTTCCTTTTTTAATGATTCCGAAACATAATTTTGCTCGTCATTTATATTAAGCGATTCTTTTCTTTGGTTTTTATTATTTGTTAATTCTAGAGTATTATTGATTTTTAATTTTAGTGCTTGCATAGATTCATAATTGTTTAAGTCATTAATAAATGTTTGAAAAATGTTTGTCAAGTAAGTAACATTATTAGTATTGTAAAGAGAATCGACAATTGATAACTTCACTAAAGTTTTTTGATAAATATTAGCAAAAGCTTTAACTCTAAATGGGTTTATATCATCATGGTTCATTTTTAATTTTAATATTATAACAAAGTATGTTTTTTAAATAAAAAAATTTAAAGTAACTTGCTGCAGGTCCCTTAGCAACTGATGAGTATATCGCCTAATCAATAAGTAAACTGCAGATTTGTTTACAATGGTGTTTTTCCAGAATAACCTTGTTGTTTCGTTTTTGTTAAATGGGGTTTTCATACAAACAGAGATTAAAATTTAATTCGTTTTTATAAACCATTGTATATATCAAATTAATTTTAAGAAAAATATATTCCTAAAGGTATATTTTGGAGGTAACTTTTGAAAGATAAATAGAAACCTATTTATACATTATTAGCTATTAAATAAAGAATGATTTAAAGAAATCTAAATCAAATTTTGAATGGTCGATAGCTAGTTTTGTATTATTACTTTTTGGGATATTATTATATGAAGAATTACAAAAGTCGAGTATTGTTTAAGAGCAGAGTATTGTTAAGCAACGCATAATATTTTTACCATTACGCATAGATGAGAATTCCTCTACGATGCATACCCCGCATTATCCAATTAATAGTAATAAAAATAGGTTCTTTTTAACTTTCGAATATTACCCCTAAAATTTACATTTAAGTTAATTTTTTCTTACAACAAACTTGATATTTTCAATGGTTTGTACAAATTAATTAAATTTTAATCTGTATACTTTTAAGAAAAATTGGTGGGAGGGGGTTATTATACTTGATAAATGACACTCTACAAGGTCAATTAACCTAATCACCATGGATAGTCTAGTGTGAGATAATTTAACTTAATAGTATTTTAGACAGTTGTTTGCACGGTTTACTTTAACGTTTAGCAATGCATATCTCAACATTTGACAAAATGAGATTGTTTATTAATAATGATAAAATACATTTACTTTATCATTATTGATAATTATGAAAATAAAATCACCTCTTACATTACGACGTATGTAATTCAATTTTTTTTTATCATCCTGTAAACCTAGTTAAACTGAGATACGCAGTATTAAGCAATAATACAAACCAGATAATTGACCAGTCAAAATTTGAATTAGACCATTCTTTTTTTCAATAAAATAATAGGTTTTCATTAAATTTTCGAAAGTTACCTCCAAAATCTAATCATTAGAAATAATATTTTCTTACAATAAACTTAATATTTACTATAGTTTATAAAAGTAAACAAAATTTTAATTTGTACACTTTTATGAAAAACTTATAATTTACCACAAAATGAGGATATTTCTTAAAAAATCTACACAACGTATATTTGTTGAGGTAGTAATAAACAAATTATTTATTAATATGATCAGTTCTTATATGTATAATCAAGTATATATTATAATATGTATTATATATAATCATAATTATATTTAAAATACCATTATGATTTGGCATTTTCAATGAGATAAATTATTTGCTACGATATTTTAAAGGCTGAAAACTAATCAAAATTAGATTCTATATTTATTAATTAATTATTTTTTATTTATTTAAGTCTCATTAAAATTCAGTGTGTAAGCCATGAAAGCCACTTTAGTTGGTTTAAAATAATTTAATATAATACGAAAATATGCATTATATAATATGTATATTAATAATACAAAGAGGGCTGTGGTTACTTACGTAAAATTCCTTTAATAAAATATTCCATTATTTTTAAATAATATTTTACATTGTTATTACATCAAAATTGTCTAAAATTTTGAAAATAAGTTATAAGGATAACCTTATATGTTTGTGTTTACTGTTTTAAAATCTTTAGCGATTTTATATAAATGAAAATTGTAAATTATAAATCTATAATAATAGAATTAAAACAATTAATTTTTAATACAATTTTCATAATTTAAATTTGAGAAATTTTCTATGAGATATTTAATTTTGCGTGTAATCAAATAACTTATTTCGAAGTTTATTCCCATTTAGTACCGGGACATGGAAATTTCCAAGACAATCCAAATTGAGACATTATTATTTTGTATAAAAATTGAACAGTCTTCATTATATCTTTAAACACGGCAGCGCCGATAAACGGCCCTAGCCAATAAACAATAAAATGTTCTTTGTTAATCATATCTTTACATCCATACATGACAGCTGTAGCATAGGTAGGATTCATCATAGCACCGGCATATCTAAACGCTTTAAAAATAATTACTTATTTTTATAATAAATTTAATAAATCAATTAATAATATCAAAAAATTTGTTTTTCAATAATTCTAAATAAATAATAAATAAGATTAGCTGCTAATTGTAAAATTGTTTTATATACATTAGCAAGCACTGTGAGTATTAAAATAATTTTTTAGAAATGTTGAACATATTTTAATATATTCAAGTGAACTAAACTATTTACAAATCTAAAAAAAACAAATTCGATATTTTTTTCATTTGAATGAAAAAATGTGATAAACCTACAAAAATTACTAGATTTTATACAACGGCATAACCGTATAATCAAATTTAAGTTTTAATTAAATTTTCATATTAGACTTTTAAAAAACGTATCATTTTTTCATATACAGAGTGTTCAGTAAGTCCTATCCACTGTATTTCCATAATTAATAATAATTTTGAATCATATTTAGTCGAAATTTTTTTTGTAAATGAGTTTTGCTTTTCCGAAAAAAGTTATGAACTTAATACGTACCAAACATATTGAATGACATCACTATAGACGTTTTTACTAAGTATTTAGTGGTAAAACATTTGTTGATATCCCGAAAAAATAATTGTACAGCTAAAAATATTATTGTAACAATTGCCTCCATTGTTGAAGCTTTTAAAGTATTTTGAATCTGTAAATTCGTTAAAGATATTTAGTCATTATAATTATTCGTTTCATAATGCAATATTAAAACCTTTGTATGACCGCTACATTTGGCTCTAATAAATACATTTTTCGTACACATAATATCAGTGGACCACAATATTAACATAATTCTACAATACAGTAATACATCAATGTTTATTTACTTATATCATTTATTTTATCATAAGACGTTCAAAGAAAATTGAATTTTTTAAGTAATATTTTGATAAAGTTTTTTAAACTAGTGAGGGGTGAAGTGTACTCTATTATGATTCATGGATTTGAAAGTAATCAGGATTTTATACTAGTTTTATCATAATTATAGACGATTAATAATATAATATTTTAGATTCTTAAATAGTTAGTATTTTGTTAAAAATTAAGTTTGGTTATAACAGGATTTAAGGTAAGATATGCATATATATATTGTTTATAGTATTGATGATATCATTTCTGTAATTTAGAAAAAATCATCTATTATTTCATAGTCCTTATCAGTATTAATAAAATACTGACTGATTTATTTATTTATTTATTATTAACATTACAGGCATTTTACTAGATTAATATTTTAGTTTCAAAGCTTAACCAGTAATACATTTAACATCTTTACTAATTTGACCAATTTATTTGTAAATATTATATTAGATTAATTATGCAATCAATTTATAATCATATGATTATAATTTTTTACTATAAGTTACCTATTGCTTAAGTAACTAGATATAACCAGAGTCATTATTTTTCTGAAAGCTGTAAATCCTTGATAAATATTTTCTCTTATTAGCTCTTTAGAAGTTGATATAGTATAGTTATCTTTAATGAAATTCTGTGTACACAACATATTTGAACTGAAATGATTGGAATAAATTATCATATAAATAAACAAATCAAATTTTTAGAGTAAAACTTACAAGGATCCTTTAAAAAATATATTTAACAATTTTGTTATTATTACTGGACTAGTTTGGTATACAACAAATATCAAATTTAAATGGAAAATTTTATATGCACAGGAATTAGTTGTTATTTTCATTAAATAATTTAATATCAATCTTAAAAAAAATACTAATATTATTTCTCCAGATATCTTCAGAATGAGTACTAAAATGTTAAATTTGAAAATAAGGTTTTTTACATTTTACACACACACACACACACATATATATATATATATATATATATGATGTTACCATTATGAATTATCATCATGTAACAATAGTGTTCAGTTATCTCGACGACTTCCATTACAATATGTATAACTTCATACATTATAAAGTCTAGGTAATTGGCAAATTTTAGCCTATTTCGATACAAATTCAGACTAAGTTTAATCAACAATGAGTTCAAACAAATTATCATTATGTGTAGAAAACAAGTCACTAATTTATCAATTTTCGTCGGTAAGAATTGAATGTTAAATATGTCATCCGCTGGAATTCAGAATTTAACCATGTTGTATTTTAGTAAACAAGTATAATAAAATATTAAATAATGACAATAAAGGATGATTACTCTTTACCCTCTTTAGTAACAGGTATGCAAGACCTTGAGAACATTCCAAACTAAGTCATTCACTAAAAAACACATATTATTATTGATAATTAATAGTGCAGGTTCATTAAGAAGTACAAAATTTACACATACGTGTGGAATAATTGTTAATAATATAATTATTTGGTATGCCACTATTCGAATAGCATTTGTGTAATAAGATCACATTTTTATTAAAGATTTGAAAAAGCACTTACTTTATAAATGGAAAATTTTAATTCGATTTTAGAAGGAAAAAATGTTTTGAAATTTTTTTAATTTATAGAGTAAAATAACAGTTGATATTTATTTTAATTAATTGTCTGGGTTACTTAAGTGACAAATGTGGGACAATTTTACATAGATGAAAAAAGCCTAAATATATTTTCACTAACTACTTAATTACTTGCAAATATAGAATTTGACATATTATTTTATAAGGGTCACGACCACTTTTAATTGGAGATAATTAATAGCTGTCGGTTTAACTTTTGTCCATGTAATATGCAGAATACGATAAAACTATGTATAATGCAAAATGAATTTTTATTAATGTATTGTTAAAAGTTGCGCAAATGCACATGAATACCAATTGCTATTATGAAACTTTAATCTTCAAGGTTCATAAAAATAGTGAAAATATTGTGACAACTGATTGTTTATTTGGTTGTAGATTTTATCAGAGTAATATAGCACTGATATATATATATATATATATGTATTAAAAAAATATTAATGATACTATATAATAATATTGAAACCGTATTTCATTGTCTTATTAGTTAATTTAATAAAATTTATTTAATGACTCAACAACTTAATTGAAGCTTGATACTCAAAAATCCATTTACAATAAAATTTACTGAATAGATAAAATATATTATAATTTTTTTAATATTATATGAGTCGATATCATCAAGATGGTCTATTGGACCTTTTTAATTTTGAATTGGCAATGTGCTTGATCTTGTATTAAGTCCTAGTTATGTTATGCTACATTAAATAAAAAATACCGCATAAATTTAGTTTAAAAAAAATTCATAAATATTCATTATAGAATATATAATCAATGTATTAATATAATTAATAAATAAATGTTTTAAGTATTTCATTGTTGATTGTCACTGTTTTTCATATTTATTATACTAAATTGAAATATATAATTTTTTAATTTCATAATTTTAAAGTAACACATCGAAATTGGAATTAAAATATAATATACTTAATATAATTTTTAACGTGTATTTGTAATATCTTATGTTTTCATATTATAAAAAAAATCTCTGTATTTTCCAACTAAAATACTATAATTATTTTAATTTAACAATTTTATTATTGATCGATTCTTATTGTAATTTTCACTAAAGACTGTAATAAGAAAAAAATTCTACAGAATATTTTTAGTAAATTATAAAAAATAATTTTATTATTATCTATATAGTAGATTTAATTTAAATTCACTTATTCAGAATTAATATGCAGAAATAAAATACTTTTATAGATTACACGAAAATGTGTAAAATATAAAATTGGCTTCTTTTATGGTAATGTAATTTGTTTTGTTTTATAACTCTTGTATATCAAAATAGATAACTTCAGAGTAATAGGCTTCAAATAAATAAACATAGACCAAGTCAATTTATTTGGGATCGAAAACATTATTAAATAATGTCGTTAACGTTAAAACAAATAAAAACTATAAAAATCTATGAAAAAAAAAAAAATGAAAAAAACTGTAGCACTGTGTGGACATGGCATAATTGGGACAAGTATAGATGATATCTGACAGTGATTAAAATCACTATCATAAGAAACGCTTCAATGCAAATCTGTAGATAGTGTTGAATTTTAAGATATTAGTGGATTATACCAAAAGCAAAATTAATTCCTATTTCCATTTATAATTCCTGATTAGTAGTTTTTTTGATTTAGAAGTATAATATACTATTATTAAATATCTATTAAAGAAATTAAATATAGTAAATTGATATTTAATAATTTAGTATTGTAATTTTTACGGAGAAATTATAAAAAATTATAAAGTAGTTGTTATTTTTATGGTAAACGTGTATAAATATTAATGGGCTTGATACAAAAATTTTCAGAAGATAATTTGTGGTTAATTATGAATAAATGGTCTACAAATAATTTTCATCAGAGTCAAAAATTTACTTTTATTATTCTATTTATGGTGCTAATTTCAAATCAGCAATTATATATTTTTTAATTTTTGAAGGTAATGTCTTTGACTAGATACGATTTGTGATCTTTTGATGTATTGTTGATAAAAATCGGTTTGGCGAGAGCTGAGAAAAAGTGGTAATAGATACAAAGAAAAAACACATCATAGTAAAACCAATACATTCTCTGCTTCGCATCGAAGCTAAAAGAATTATTTTGATTTGTTTATTTTTTAATAAGATCTTAAAAATCGTAATTTTATGGAGGATTTAAAAATTGTTGAGGGTTATGTTTAACTAGATACGATTTGTGATATTTGTTGTATAAGTTGAGAAAATTCGGTCCAGTGAGAGCAAAGATAAAGAAGTTAAACAAACCATGGTAAAATTAATACCTTCTCAGCTTCGCATCGAAGCTGAATATGTTCATGGTTTTTATGATTCAATTAATTGATCACCCATTTTCATAAGTTAATAATAATCAGGGCCGTATTTAGGAGGTGACACGGGTAGGCTTATACCCAGGGGCGGCATGTTTCAGAAGCGGCAAAATATTTTAGCAAAATTTATTTTAAAAATGTAATGAAAAAAAACTCAGCACAGTGGGGTCGTGGCATAGTTGGGTCCAGTATAGATGATATTTGACAGTGATTAAAATCACTATCATAAAAAACGCTTCGATGCAAATCTGTAGATAGTATTTAATTAAAAAAAAAAAAATTGTTAAAATAGCATATTTTTGAATACGGTAGCCATTTGCGCATAGAAGATAGGTTGACGGGACAAATTTTTTATTTTNATCAGAGTCAAAAATTTACTTTTATTATTCTATTTATGGTGCTAATTTCAAATCAGCAATTATATATTTTTTAATTTTTGAAGGTAATGTCTTTGACTAGATACGATTTGTGATCTTTTGATGTATTGTTGATAAAAATCGGTTTGGCGAGAGCTGAGAAAAAGTGGTAATAGATACAAAGAAAAAACACATCATAGTAAAACCAATACATTCTCTGCTTCGCATCGAAGCTAAAAGAATTATTTTGATTTGTTTATTTTTTAATAAGATCTTAAAAATCGTAATTTTATGGAGGATTTAAAAATTGTTGAGGGTTATGTTTAACTAGATACGATTTGTGATATTTGTTGTATAAGTTGAGAAAATTCGGTCCAGTGAGAGCAAAGATAAAGAAGTTAAACAAACCATGGTAAAATTAATACCTTCTCAGCTTCGCATCGAAGCTGAATATGTTCATGGTTTTTATGATTCAATTAATTGATCACCCATTTTCATAAGTTAATAATAATCAGGGCCGTATTTAGGAGGTGACACGGAAGCCTACCCTTGTCTTATAGATGTAATATTATCTTAAAGATGTACTTATAATGTATTTAGAAAAAAATATTTGTGCTGATACATACATTTTTCGAAATGTTATAGCATTTTTAAGTTGAAAATTTAAAATCGAAAATCGAAAATTTTAACACAAAAATACCGTTTTTTTAACTACGGCAGCTGTTTACACACAGAAGATAAAGTGTCGGGACAAATTTTTTTTTTTCATTTTGTAGTACATAAAATAAGCTTTAATTTGATATATATTTAAAGGACGCAGTATTTCCGAAACATTTTCAAAAATTAAGTTGAAAAAGTTAGTTTTTGTAAAAAAGTTGCTATTTTAAATCCCCCCCCAATGAGCAGGTTAAGTGATAGATTTTCAAAAAAATGATATCAAATAAAAGGGAAATATCTAAGGTTTTAGTATAAAAAAAATTATGTTGATTTGTTATTTTTGAAAAAATTATGGTAGTTTTAAGAAAAAAAAGTGAAAGAAATGATAAAATTTACTGATTTTTAAATTTGTAATTTTTTTGGATATTTCTCCCATTTTTGGGGAACGAGGGAATTTTTTTCAATTTTTAAGGGTAATTTCTCTAACTAGATACGATTTGTGATCTTTTGACGTATTGTTGAAAGAAATCGGTCTAGTGAGAGCTGAGAAAAAGTGGCAACAGACATAAAAAAAAAAAAAACACATCATAGTAAAATTAATATCTTCTTAGCTTCGCATCGAAGCTAAAAAAGTATTAAATAATTCTCATTTATTAATTATTAAGTTGGATTTTTTGGATTTTAATATTAAAGAATCAATTATGAACGAAATAAATAGTGTTATATTATTATTATTATTATTTATTGTGGTGATGAGGGTGGGGTGGGGGTATAAATTATATGCCTGGGGGCGCCAAATTTTTTAATACGTGTCTGATAATAATGTAATTGGTACTTTTTATTAAGTAAATAAATATTTCAGTATTATAGAATATATAATATAATGTGTACTACAATAGCTTCCAGCCCATACCCATACACTAAAAGATAAAAGTAATTCAGTTTTTGGTACGGTTTAATAGACGCTATTCAGTTTAATTGCTTTGAAGTCAATGTGAAAGGTGTTGTTAGATATTGTGTTATGTAATGTATTATTTCTTAAAACTGGAAAAACATAGTAAGTAATACATAAAATTGCACACAAGTGTATTTACATTAAATTAGAAAAAAATAACTGGGATATGTAGGGCCACAATAAAATAGCAGAGCATAATTCTGTGAATGTTAAATATGAATATTTTTGAAGTTATAGGAAATATAAAATAATATCTAATAAGTTTACGATATAATATTTATTACCTTATTTTAACTGTAAATATAAATAAAGTGAACAGCTAACATGATATTTATTAATCTAATATGTGCCAAATTTAATGTTAACCTTGACCTTCTTTAAGTTTGTAATTATTAACTATAGTCTATGTTTTTGGTTATTAGAACTTAAGAAATTTTTACTTTCCCTCTCTCTCTAAACCCGTATATTAAATATAATAATAATTGCTTATTCAGGTAGCGGTTAAGTAAGTGGACAATATGCTTCTTATAAAAGTAGTTTGTTAGTGGGTCGTCGTTGAATACATTCTCTTATATATTAAAAGATGATAATACTCATAAGTTATTTATCAACCAAATAAAGCAACATTAAATGCGCTGTGATTAATATTAATTTACAAATACTAGTCACAGTTAATTTTTTTTAATGACGTTGTGTGAAAAGTTATATGTGGTTTACAACAATTTTAGGAGTTAAAACCATTATCTCTGTGTAGTGTAATAAAAGATATATTCAACATGATACTGGATCATAAAATGTAATATTAATTTTAAAGGTGCGTAATTTTTCATATAAATTATAAATATTTAAATAATTGAAGAATTTTCTACTATCATTTCTTTATCGGATAGGTAAACTATGTTTTTATATAATAGTTAATCGGTAAAACCTATTTTTTGACTTAAGTAATAAACTAATTTAGGTTATTAGATATGTCTTTTCGAATACTGATTAACTATCTGCTCTGATAAATAGTTAATCAACCATTTACAATAATCTAGATAAATTTTGTTCTTAATTGAAGATGTTTGAATACATTTTTTCGTTTAATTCTTAATTGTAAAACAAAATTTGCTGTTAGATAAAATAAATACTATAGCACAGAGTCACCTTTAAAATTTGTTTAAGAAATAGTTAATAGAATACTGGGAATTTAATTTTTATTTACGATACAAAAAAATATGATATTTCTTATTTTTTTATTATCTTAGACCATAAAATTCAGTCTTTAGGATTGTCAGAAGTAATTTATGCTAAAATATACTTTTTTTTAATTGAAAATTCATGCAAATAGCTATTAAAACTAAAGTGATAAGATTTGTTTTAAACATCGACGACAAATGTTTAAGGAGTGTTAACACCAAACGCAGCACTTTATTTTGAACAAAGATTTTTATTGAGATGTGTAAAAAGTAAATAAATTACCAAACAAATATTTAAGTTTTGACCTTTTATAGATTATTTAGTAAAATAATAAACTATTTATGTACAGTAAAACTTAAAACCATATTTTATTTAATCCTCCCCCTTTTATAATAGAATTAATTATGTGTTAAAGATATCACTTGGAAGTGATAATAAACACTTTTCTAAGTATTATAATACTGAGAAAATCCTGAGTATGCATTAATGGGTATAGCGAAAAAAAATATACACGAGTGAAGCAAGCCGATCATGAGAGCAATTTTAGCACAATCATAGAGTTGGCATACTTTCATAATGAAATATTTCCATTATTAACGTTTTTTTTCAGTATAGTGGATCAAAAGTACAATTTTTAACAACTATACTACACTTATACAATTTCTTAACTTAATACAATTTTTTTTAACAGTGAAATTATTTATAAAATGGGACTTATGAACAAATAAATTATTACATATAAGTACTAAAATGTATAAAAGGTACTATCCTAGAGGTGATACTTTGATTGTTGGGTTGGGTTTATAATGTAATGTTTAGTGCGTAGAATACATGTTAAATAATCGAAGAGTTTTAAAATAATCAAGTAAATCACTGTCAATATTATCTATATTTGTCCTAACTATGCCGCTCCTCACTATGCTGGTTTTTTAGTACAGTTTTTGTAAGTTTCAAAAATAAATAATTTACATTCTGTATTTTTTGAGGCTAAAGACAATGGGACAATTCGATTAGGATTATGACAAGTATTTCAAAATTTAGATGGTTTTTTTTTTGACTACCTAACTGAGTGAAAAATTGTAATTTGTAAAATATTTGTAACTTTTTCTTTACTATTATTTGAATAATTATTTAAACAATGCTTGGGTGTTTAGTTAACTGAGTACCCAAGTATCATACGCGAAATCTAATTACACCATTGTCTTAGCCCAAAGTCTAAAAAAACACATAACGTTGAATAATGTGTTAAGGCTGTAAAATTTCTTTTTCAAACTCACAAAAAATAACGAAAATAAGTTTTTAAAAATAAAATTATAGTTTTTTTGGATTTTTTATTTTTAAGTATATCTTATTGTATTATTGTGCTTTTCCTGTTTTTTTTGACGTGTAAAAAGTACTAAAATATATTTTTAAATTCTTCATAAATATATCTTTCTATTGGTAGTAATTTCACAATTATGAAATCAACCCAAAAATAGTTTTAATGGAAAGATCAGTTATTTTTTTCTGTATATTACATATCAAATTGAAATTTAAAGTGTAGTATAGTTATGTAGTTTATTTATTTTGTTTATGATTTTTAAATATTCACCCGTGGTGAAAAAATATTTATATTACAAAAATTTAGTCATAATTTAAATTAGGCGTGGTAGTAAAAATCATTCTTACATATTTTCCCTCGCAAAAAATCATATAAAAAAAAAAAAAAAATTTGAAGGCTGTTAACAATTTTCCCATCCTCTTAAAAAATATTGTTTTACAACATTATATAGTGTTCAGGAAGTAAGAAATCAGGTGATACGATCACATATAAGTGATATTAAGTAGCGACGTAACACAAATTTCTTTTGTTCTGATTGTTTGCAATAATTTATTCGTTTCCTTACTTTTTGAACACTATATAATTTTTATTTGTACTGGTTCTCTAAACAAAAATGAGATTGCGTCAGGTCGACAGCCGATGTAAAAATCCTGACAAATCAATAAAGTAGAGCAAAACCCAAATAATTGCTATAAAGATAAGGAGATATTAATATATATTATTTTCAACATTTTTGGACTTAGTCCTCAAAGCCCATCCCTAACTCTGTTACTGTTTCGTGAAAATATCATAAGCGCTATGAAAAGGTATATATCAAAATGACCAGTCCAATAAAGTCTAATCTGCCTATGTAAACGGTTAAACTTGACAGAAAAGACCCAAATTTTGCATA